TTACAGCACACAACTCAGTATGCTTTTTATGGTTGAATCAGCAAGCGGGAAAAACGAATCTTAAGAATACAAATATTGGTGATATCAAACACAAATGGGAATATTTTCAATCGCTGGAGCTTTTTTTAGACCAGGAGCCCCTGAAGACGGATTTAATGAACTTAAGGTGAATTTTTCAGACGGAATTTGTTGGGTGTTGGGTGTTTTAAAAACGCATCTGCTCCCCAGGAAAGGGAAGGGAAAAAGGGGAGAGAGCCTGTAGACAAACATTTGAGACCGCTATTCCGCCCTCTTGTAATTATCCTGCCGATCATCTGTCAGCAAGGTCGTTATCTGTCAGTTAATTTCGTGCGTGAGTAACTCCGGGGAAAATTAACGGGAAATGAGCGGTGTTTTGTTCCATCGGAAAACAGAGTGAGGTGGAGTGCGAGCCTCATTGTCGATTTTGCAAAAAGTCGTTGACAGTTGACACAAAACTCTGTCAGCTTCAGCTGTCAAAGTAAACAAGGTTCAAGATGCTGCATAAATTTTCCGCATGAACTCACCTGTCAAATTTTGACCAATCAGAGCATACAAATTGGACGTAGAGCGTGACCATGGTAACAAAAGGTCTTCCCCGGCTGTGTTTCTAAATAACTGGCTGAATTTTCGTGTCCGAGGTAAGTTTGAAATCAAAATCTTAATAGTGCTGGGCCATAATGACATAAACACGACATATTTCATATAAATTTTTAAAAAAACAAACTAAAGCCTGCGATAATTTGAAAACTAGTAACTTGTCAGCGGATAACTTCAAAAAATACTCGACCTCGATGGGTCGACACCTGAGCCCTCGATACGGTCAGGTGATACTGGTCAGCGGATACCCTGTTTTGACAGCTGTCAATTGATCACAACATTGATGTGCAATCAGTTTTCTCCTGGGCTCCCAAACTAGCTAGAAAGTGTGAGAGTAAACATTAGTATGCCTGTGGTGCGGACGGACGGTCGTTCGTTCGTTCGGTGTACGGTCACGTGAAAACCAAATTTTCTGGGATGGGTAGATTTACTTAGCTATGGGGCTCCGCCCACGCGCGCGCTTCGCGCGTGCGTAGAGCTCCACTACAAAGAAATCAACAAGGGAACAGGGGGGCGGTCTCTTCCCAGCCACCGCGCGTTTTTCGCATTTCTTTTTACTGAACGACTTTTAACCACTATCTTGGAGCCTTATTAAAAACAGGCTAGAACGGGGAGAGCTGTGGTTTCAACTATTACTAGTTTTTATTCATATTGGTGGAATTTGAAAAGGTACTAAACAGCCCCGACTAAAAAATGATACCCATTTTTCTTGTTACGAAACTCTTCTGTTTAGGTTCGATTTATTACGACCAAGTACAATCCAGAGTATATCACAAGGTGACATTAGACCCAAGTGTAACCCTAGTTAATGATTATAAAATCACACATATTGTAACATCTTCCAAAAGGGTAATATGTTCAAATGAGTAACTGTTTTTAAAACTCTCTCATGATATGTTACGTCACGCAATGGTCCATGACAAGCCTGGTGGCTTAAGTCTGCAGCCACCCCCTTCCCCAGGAAAATTGGCAGCCCAGTTAAAACCGCCTTTTGGCGATTCTTGTTTACTAGTGTTTGCAGATATTTTGCATATGTTTTATCTTGACACTAAGAGAAAGTTTCAATAGTCGTTTTCAGGAAGGTTTTACAATCCATATTAAGAAAACAAGAACTCTAGGTATTCGTTTGTTGACGACATCAGCCAGGCTTTATTTCCGCCGCTATCTCGGTCCGTCCCCAGGAGGAGAAGGAGCGCGGGCTCATTTCCCGAACAGCGGCTAGTAATCGAGCCGAGATATGCTTTTGTATGTATAGCACTGCATTTGCCTCCATTTCAAGTACGGCCCTCGAAATTAAGGCTCTTTCGTTCGCGGTCAACCGATTCAGAAAGAAAACAAAAGAACATAGGGTGTGACCCCGGGAGAGATCCTGTTTCGTATAGAAAGCCACGTTTTTGCAAGCGAAGAGTATGAATGCAAGTGAAGGTAAAATTCCCATGAATTGAAGCAATATTTTTCTCAGTCGGTGTTTTGGCTAAATTTGTATTCGGCCAGGCTTTGTTGTATTTTATTTTTAATTGATCAAGTGAGTAGGAGCGTTGCGTGACGACACTAAAGCAGACTAAATAAACTGCAACTGATGCAAATTATTTGCCGCTAGTCGGGAAGAACTTCGAGGCTCCTGATTTGACGTTAAGAAAGTGACTATAATTAGAGTCGAATGTTATTTACAGCAAAAATTGTGCTGACAAGACCAAAAAAGTCTTAATCAGCCAGTAACAACGGGATGGCTCAGTCATCACACAACTTTTGAGTCGTCACGCACGTTGCGTCACGACACAATGTTCTTGAAATGCGCGGTGCCCTGGGAACCAGCGTTGTTTGGCAGAAGGCACGAAGGCGCCATTTTTGACTCGTTTGATGAGTTTCACCATCAAAAGTTTGCTGTAAAACACTATGTTATAAACGAACTGGTAATGGGCAGAGCTTTACAGAAACATGCAAGGGGAAAGAATCCTCAAATCACTTCTAAACAGAGAGATAGATGGTCTTTATGAGGATACGAAGGTAAGTTGATCAAACTTAGCTGTTTGCTAAATTTAAGCTGCTGAGAAATCATGGTCGCTCAATTGAGGACACTTTGTAGCTCAGTTAGCGAAGATACTTACGATTTGTAAAGCTACTAACTTTCAAAAACGTTTTCTTGAATAAAAATTTAGTTCATTTCAAAGCGAGCGTTTGGTTGGACTCTAAATGTAGCTTCAATTGCAAGAATCGCGCTGATCTACATGAGCAGGTCAAGGAATGAGTGTCACTTGAAAGCGAACCTCAACCTAATAAATTACACTTATTTTAGACGTCTTTTTTGCCAAAGCCTCTCATTTTTGTTAACTCCATATTTTAAATGGGCTAGCATTCACCCTTGTTATTGTTGTTTTTAATATTGTTTGTTGGAACTTGTAGAATTATCTTGCTCCACTGCAATGTCCGCTAAAGAACGAAAATGGCTGCCAAGCAGGAGGCAAAGCTACAGAGGAAACTGTATCAAAGTACGCCGTTTTTTGTACCAAGTTCCTAAGGTGTGCTATAGAGACCTTGAAAAATGTGAAAGCCAAGGGAAATGACCTTATTGAGGTCACAGATGCCTTGAAACTAGGTAAGATGAAGCATGTGAACATCTTTAGTTGCTGTTTGGGAGTAAGGTCTTTTCTGAGTTCCTAAAATAAGCTTAATGCTTACTCTTAAAATGGGACCAGCTTCAAAACCTTACTAATGAAAAGGAGTTTTATTTATAACACACACACACACACACACACTTAACACACATACTTTATTATTATTAATAATCTACATTTACATAAAGTCCATTTCCGCCCGCAAATAGCAGGTGCTAGTCAAGGCAGGAGGAGATAATAGGTACAGCAGTCAGTAATAAATTACAAATAAATAGATGAATAAATAAATGAATAAATAACTAGATATATATAAATGAAATAAAGCTTAAACATAAATTAAAAACATTTACAAAATCACCTACTTGAAACTCGAAAAATTAACTGCAACACTAAATTAAGATATGTATACTTTATAAATTAAACTCTGTATTTGCTCGATAGTTAGCTATTTTTTGAAGCAGAATGGGCGATTCAACATAACTGTCCTCGGCCTCTAATAACAAAAATAGCATGTCATTGATATGTTTTTTGAAAGCTCTCTTGGGGAGGTGACGAAGTTCATCGCATATTGAGTTCCAAAGCTTAGCTCCGAACCTAGCAAAAGAACCATGGTTTTGATTCAGTCTCGATCGGTTGATATAAAAATTGCAGGAGGAGGAGAACCTGGTCTCGTGATTATGCTTTTCATTAGCTTTAATGAAAAGATTACTAATGTTAGTGGGAACAGTTAGACGAGACATCGAACATTATTGAGGAAACTGTTTCAACGTATAACATATTTAAAGGAAGGATTTTTGAGGAGGTAAATAAAGGCACCGCACGTGCTCTGGGTTCAGAAAAATACATCAACCGAAGGACACGTTTTTGTAGCACGAGGATTTTTTGTAAATGGCATTTAGCAGCTTGACCCCAAGCAGCCAAGCCATAGGATAGGTAGGGTAGTATCAAAGAGTGATAAATACTTAATAGTGTGGTAAAAGGGACGAGGTGCCGAAGACAGGCAATAACTCCAATAATTCTACCTATTTTCAGTGCTGCATTGTCAATGTGGTATTTCCAGCTCAAATGGCTATCCAGTAAGACACCCAGATATTTTACATGATCCTTACACTCAAGGGAAGTAAGAATGTGATTACTATTATCAAACATTAGAATATTGACCAAATGGTCCATCTTACGTTGGTGAGGACGAAAGTTAACAAAGTTTGATTTTTTAGCGTTTAATGTTAGCTTATTTGCATTGAGCCAATCCCAGACTCTGACCAGTTCTTTATCGACCATTTTTTCAAGAGAATTAAGATTTTTGTCGGCATTCAACAACTTTGTGTCATCTGCAAAAAGGTAAAACGAAAATTTCACTTAAGAATAAAACTTTACAACCTACTTATGGTATGGGACTCCCAGGTACACACAACACATTTCACAGTGGAAAGAAATAGCATTTTCAACATGGTGTGAGCAGGGCACAACAAAGTGCTATCTGACAATCCAGAGCCATTGAGGCTTAAATATGGGTCAAATATAAGTTGTCCTATAAGCACACCACATTTGCTTTTAGTGTGAGATTAATAGAGGGCTATAAAGTTACCTGTAACCTGCAAATTGTTTTGTTCGTGTTTCAGTGGGAACACTTCTCAACAACACTTTATCACTCCATCATGGAAACTACCTGAAGTTTATTCCCTCAGTAGATCAGCTTGCTAAAACACTTTACCTTATTGTTGCTCAGCTTATTGCCAAGGCACAGTTTGAAAGGGCTCTGGATCATGCTAATGACCTATATAAATTCATCCAGATTCTTAAGGCATGGAAGAGCTATGACAGTGAAAAGATGGAGAAGGAAATTGGATCACTTTGTCTATGTTCATCTGATTTGTTACTTCAAGGAGCTGGGAAGCTTGAGGAGGCAAAAGTACCTCCGGGGGAAAGACCATCTCACTTGTGTGTTGTGTTAGACTGGAGAAAGCTCTCATTGCTTTTTCAAGCAGAAGCAAATGTACATTGTTCGCTAAAATCCTTAGTGGATAGAACTCTGAAATGTGGGACAAAATTTCAAGTGGATTGTGGGCTCAAGAATGTTGATTTTAAAACCTTAGCAAGCTTCTTTGAAACCATTTTTAGTGCACTCGTGAACAAGCAAGAACAACTGATTGCAAATGGACAAGAATTTACAGTACTCTTAGCTGAACTTGGATTTCATTACGGCAGGATTTGTAATAAGGCTGGAAACTCAGCAGAAGCTTTGGCTGTGTTCGATAACCTGTTGAAAATTGTAGGAATTGAAAACCATTGCAAAAATGGGCATTTTAAACTACAAATACCTTCACAAGTTTGTTGCTGTGTGTGTTTAGTCTGCAAGGCAGCTATTTTGTTGAACTCTACTATAAAATCTCAAACTCAAGAATCTCTTCAGCAGATGTTATTCGAAAGTAACCGGCTAATCTCCCAGATCCTGAAGTGTAGCACATTACCTTCACCAATGTTGAAACTACTTTCAGACTCCCTGGAGTACTTCAGAATTAATTTGCAAAATGAAAGTAGCAAAAAGAGTAAGGAAAAATCACCCACTCTTTCATTGAAGACTCTCCAAGGAACAGTACAAGTGCTGCAGTCTTACATCTCAGTCTTATCTTTGCAGTGTGAGCGGCTTAAGTCAGAGCTGCTTAAATCCAAACATGACAATATCGTGGCACAGCTAAAACAACAGCTTCTAAAGATCACAGAACGGCAAATGACTGTATTTAGTTTTGTTATTTCTTCATATCAAGATCAGTTGAAGAATGAAAAAGGTGCAAAAAGTACAATCAGGGATTCAAGGTCAGTAGTATCACAAAACATTTAAAACAGTTAACTACAGTGTACACACTGTAGTTTAAGAAAAGGATTATATTGTGTTTTTATTTCTCTTTGTTTGGGGACATATTAATAGATGAAAATGAGTGAAAAACAAAGGGAAACAGTGTGCAAAGAAAGTAGCATCTGATAGCCTGCGGCTAGTGGATTTTGGCATCAGGCTAGTGAATTCTGTTCTTAACTTGCCCGATGGGCAAGTGAAGTATGTTGAGGAGTTCAGCTTACAGAAGAACTGTGAAATCAATTCTGCTCATCAAAAAAATTGAGGGGCTAGTTGAAATGACGTTTGGGCTAATAAATGCTAGCTTCAGCTTGCCCAAATGACAAGCTGTAAAAATGACTTTCCTTGCACCCTGGGAAATAAAATTTAAACCAAGGATAAATTTGAACCATAACATTATACATGTAACACTGCTCAAACTTTTATTGCATACCCAGTATCCTCAACTCTTGCCAATCAGCCTACCGATTCTTGAAACAAAATTACAAAGTAATATCTCTAGAATTTGTCTTTGTGTTACACACAAATGGGAATGTACACTGTAGGCAATATCTCTGACAAGATGGCATTTTGGGGAAGATGTACCGTAAGTAGTCTGGGTGTGGGAAGGTCCTTGGAAAGAGACTAAGAGAAATCTAGTAAGAATATCTATAAAGAATAGGGGAATGAATGAATGTACAGCTGTTGGTGGACCCTTACAAAGAACTACAGAGGCGAATGTTACTGGGTATCAATCTTCAGAGAGTTTACTGTGCTGTTAATGTTAACACATTCTTTATTTACACTATGCAGATGTCAGATCTTTAAGGACTGTATTCCAGTAGTGGAACTCGCAAACTCTGTAATTCATTCTGCCCTTGATGATCCAGACATCCCATTATCTCCAAACGAGCTCCGCTGGCTAGGCTGCAATGTGTACAATTTGGGCTGTGTGTCATATCAGAGAGATTGCTTTACTGAAGGAGTTCCTCTGTTAGCTATTGCTTGTGAAGAGCTGAGAGTATGGTGCTTTAATGGCAAGACTGATGAGGAAATTCTTACAAGGATTGTGGAGGTAATATGGCCTTAAGCCTTGTAATTTTTCTAACATACTGTGTGGCATGAAATGTTTGTGGGAGTTTGCAACTTTTGTGTTTTGCGGGAACAAACAATGCTACAGTTTGTGTACCCTACACTGTATGTAAAACCAGTATAACAGATTACTTTTCTTTGTCATTCGATTAAAGTAACATCTGGGATGACTGATTGTTCTGATGATCGATTGGAAGAAGTTAAGTTGCAAAATATTTACTGTGGAGAAATTTTTTGCAGGAAAAATGTGTGCTGGAAAAATCTCAAAAATTAGAACCCGCAAAAATTTCGTGCCACAAGGTAAATGATGTACCATTTTGACAAGCCCCAATAGAGATGATTACCAAATTTATCCTTTGTATAATACTAGTGCTCACCAATCATTTTTTTCATATTGGGTATTAAATACTTGTGATTCATTTTTTTGCACTGTGCATAAAATGCCACATCAATGATTTTCCTTTTTTTCTGAGAAATGGAAGCAAACACTTGTGATGTTAACCCACCAGATGGGTCTTACAGTAATCTGTCCTGTCACGCCATCATTAATAATATAACTGATTTCTTTTAGGTGAAGCTCCTAACAAAATTTGCACTGCTGACTGACTGTCAGCGACGAGCCAAACAGATGGCTGGTGCACTGACAACAGCTACCACTCAGGTTTTCATGGCACTTCAAACTGATTCTGATGCAAATGTCTTGAGGCAGCAGATCAAACAATGGACCACAGTGAAACATGAGCTGGTGAAAAGTATGCAAGATGAAAAGAAACAAGCTGAAAGATCAAGGTTTGTCATGAATTTTCGTGAAAAAATTACCTTTGATTAAAACAACACACGCACCACTGGTTGAGAATACATGAATATGTCATATTTTATTACAACTGCATGAATACTTCAGTGAGGTGCTCTTTTCTAAAAAGTATGAGATTCTGTTAGTCCAAATACGTCATGTGATGTCTTACCTGTCTTTCTATTTTTCTCTGTTTACCATAGAACCCTGTGCAGTGTTTTAGCAGAACAGAAAGATGCTGAAGATATTAACAGCAGTCAGCTTTGTTTAGTTCTTCAGGAAGAGCTTGCTTCTTACAAGGCAAAGAAGTAAGTTCTCAAAAAGACAGATATCACAAGGTTTCTGAACTTGTCGCAGAAACAGGGAAAGAGTTCCTCACTTTAATTGTCCATTTAGCTCTTTTATTACCATAGAACAAGATCCTGGAAAGAAATAAATACAGTTAAACTGGGAAAACCATGAGCACCAGAAATATTTCTGGAATGCTATTGTCTTGCTAGAGAAAAGCCAACCAGGCGTGAGAAAACTAAACCGGAAGCAAGAACATTAGTTAGTTTGTGGTTTTGTGGCCAGTTCACGTGTCCTGATCTTTGCTGTGATTAGTCATAACACAATAAACATTCTTGAGATATTTCAAGTCTTCACGGTTTTCCCGGTCGCAGTGTAAGCTCATGTGAAAGTACAGTGTACATACAGTGCATGTATTGCTGTCAGGACTGTCACTAAGAAACAGGGACCAGGGATTTCCACCAGTGACTGTGAGTGTGAGCTCCAACTACTTTTATAGGAAACAAAAGTAAAATACATTATGTAGAACCAAAAGAACTTCCTAGCTGTACAATTCCCCTCCTACTAATTACATATCAATGCTGCATTCTGATTGGTTGAGCTACTACTTGGCTTTATGTTATAGCCCACTAGTACCGAAAAGCACGGGCTATTTGGCGGCAAAAAAGGATTAAAGTGTAGCTTTAACTAGCTAAAATTTTTTTATTCTCGAAATTTTTGACAAACTAGTTGGGTATTTAACAATTATTCCTCTGGCCCTCATGGCCTCTGAGTCAATAGCTCATTCGGCCTTTGGCCTCATGGGCTATTGACACAGAGCCCATTCGGGCTCGAGGAATAATTGTTAAATACCCAACAACTTTACATGTATGCAGATCATGAGGTTCCTAAAAAAGTTCTCTTTTATTTCACTTACAGTACTCAGTCTCCCAAAAATGTTTTGTCCTTTATACATGTGTATTCAATTATCATTTGAGGGGTTGATTTGAACCCAGGAGTCGCTTCATAAGCGTGTACAATAATTATGATTGTCGGGGTGAGTGTTGTCCTGAATATAATGACTGTTGCTGACTCCGCCAAAGATGATTTTGGGTTATCCTTTATCCCAATTCTGTTTTGAACCACTCTGGCCAATTGATATTGTACACCTTTAAGTGGTCTATTTTTTCTCTTACTTCCAGTTATGACACCACAATGGAGCAAATTTCTGTCATCAGACAGCTTATGGAGCTGTACATTATCCAAGATGATGAGTTTCATTATGGTTCAGTGATGCTTGAGCTTGGTGTGGCACTGCATGGCCTTGGAGACAAAGATCTTGAGGAGGAGAAGTGAGTCTAAAGCTTATATGTGTTCTGGATTAGTATCTGGCATTTTGTCTTACATTTAGGTAAATGACTTTGGAATAGCAAAAATACATTAACATCAAACATGCTCTTGTTTGATCACAGAGTGTAACTTGAGGTAAAGGTAAAGGGACATTCAGCCAGCTGTTTTGTTACAATGTCATTCAGGGTTATACGGCCCATTATGAAGCCAGTCACTTTAGTATTATTGTAAGACTGTTTTTATAGGCAACTTAGACATTTTTTGAAAAAAAGGTTTTCTTCGCTTGAACTTCTACACAATATACAGACTGAACACAAGTGACGCATTTTGGTATCCATACTCTGTGGATTCCATGCTGTTGTGATAATTGATGATGAAGTGTCATCAGGGTTGTTGAGGTGAAGAAGGATGTTTCATGGTTCATATCTCTAATTGGGCAATACCCCAATCCCCAGCCAGCCCTCAACATTAGCACTAAACATTTTGATATTGTTTGCTCTAGGTCTGCACTTGAGTGCTGTCAAGAAGCAGCTGCAATTCTGGAGCAGCTGGCAGACACAGCAGCTAAAACAGATGAGCACAAAAATCACCTGTCACTTGTGCAGGACAGACTTGCTGCAGCATATTTATGGCAGGCATTGTTAGAGCACAAAGCAACAATGGAAGACAATCTACGAGTGGAATCACCCAAGGAGCTCAGTGCAAGTTATGACACAGGGGAGGTACTTGTATATAATTTTTTTTCTCCAGAGGGTGTGTAAATCAGAGCCCAGTTGTTCAAAAGGTGAATAATGCTATTCACTGGATATATCACTATCCTGTGGATAGCGCGCAATTGTTTGTTATTTGATCCACTGACTGGATAGTGATTTATCCGGTGAATAGCCCTATCCAATGTTTGAACAACCAGGGCCAGAAATATATGGTCCGAATGGGCTTGGAATGGTCAGATGTGATACAGTGTACCCCTTGCTCCCTTTGATTACCTTCGTATTTCCTTTTGTAATTTAGCCCCCCTCCCTAAGTCCCCTTCCACTGGCATCCAATTGCAAACTTACATAATGAACTTATTCCTATATAATTTTACTGCCCTTTTTAGGTCGAAGGCATATGTCTGGAGCAGCCATTTATGTCATCCCTTCATTCAGCAATGGAAACGTGGACAGTTTTAGCAAATAGATCAGTGCAAGAAGGGAAAGATGGAAAGGTAGAGTTTGGGCATTATTATTGTGCGGTTTAGTTTTTTTTTTTATGATACATGAAAAGAGAGCACTTCTTTTTTTCTCATCCCCTAAAAACTTACTCACAGGTTAAAACATGAAAAGTTTGGAAACTTGATTAGTCTGCATAAATACTGTAGATTAGTTTAAGCAATATCTGTTGTTCTTTTTGCAGATTGATTTGCAACACTTTGTTAACCCTGAGGAAACTTGCCATTACCTTCTGATTATTGCTGGAATGTTTGGACTTGTCAACCAGGTAAACTAAGGAAATTGAAAGATGTTTCAGGGGACTGTTTCATGCAACAGTGACTGACGCAAGCTGTGTTGGGTTCTTTCTGCTGAGGAGTTCTAAAAGAACAACATTTATTTAACTTTAGTGTGTTCAAGAAGCAGTGCTCATTAAAAAATTAAATAACTTTCTAAAATTCATAAAATGGTTGCTGAGGGTGAAAGGAATCATATATCAACACATCAAAATCATGCATTATCTACTCCTTTGACTGTGTCCCTTGGGAAACCAGTTTATATCTTGTGTGTCCATCAATCCTACCTCAGAAGTTTGAAATTATCTGGAAACCAAGTATGCAAATTTGCTCCAAATAAATAAACCCTCCAGGGGGCTTACTGTAAGAGAAGGATTTACAGTAAACTGTTTTCCTTCCAGCCATTCATGGAGTAATTTGTAACTTTTACAGCCATTCAAGAAGGTGTGTGCTCTTCATCTTGCTGCTACCATTGCCCAAACAATCTGCACTAACAGTATGCTGAATAATAGAATATCTGCCTGTAGTGAAGCTGTTCATACTCTGTGTGATGTACTGGACATTTCTCATGCCAGTCTTCTGCTACATCAGACCAGTGATGTGTTGGAAACCCTTGAACCAAGTGGATCAGTTATGGTCCAGTTTCTGTTGGCAAAGAGTCACTATCTGTTAGTTGCAGGAAAGGTGAGGTTGTTCCTGAATCATTTCTTTCGCTTTATTTCTCTAAGCACAAGGGATAATGAAAATCATGAGCCAAGAGCTACTTACTAATGGTCCAATTTAGTCGGTTATAAAATTTATTATTTCACATATACATTGTACATTTACAACTTGCAATATATCAGTGTTTGTTATTATTGTTTATGCTTGTCAGTGCTTGTGTATGGTTTACAAAAGCATAAGTGTGTAACGCTTTTCTAAATAATACTTACAGTCTCTATCGATTCGTCATCCCTAAGTATTTTGCATTTCCATTTCTTTTTAATCTGAGAGAACAATATTGATGCACAAAACGTTGCAGTGCACATGGATGTTGTTATCCAAGGTATCAACAGAGGTTTTGCCACCGACGAATTGACTTCAAATGTGCAATTTCTGATTTTGTTGAGACCTGAACCCATGAATGAACTCATGGGATTTTAACACCAGTTATAAATTTGTGCTTTAACAGTATCATACCATAAAAGCTCACACGCAACTTAAAATGTCCTTAGATTATGTTATTTACTTAAAAGTACTGGGCAAGCACTGGTACCTCGTTAAAGTTGTAACATCATTGTGATATAGTCCAGGGCTGAGTTGCATGTGTGTGGCTTTTGGATGGTTACTGGCTGAGTGGGCCTGGGCAAGTTGGGTTTTCTGTCAGCTATCACCCTTGGATTAAGCTAATGGTTGTGGCCCATGGGTCCTTCACTGTAGCCTTTTAGAAATAACATGTTTCTAGATACTCCATCTGCGAGTTTTGTTTTCAAAATACTGGCAGAATATTTGGTTATCCAAGCTTGTGCTCCAGTTGGAAATAGTTCTTTAATAGCAGTCTTCTGCTAGCAGTGATTTTGTTACCTGTAGGACATAAAGATTGCTTAATCAATCTAAAGATGTGTATATCTGGCCTATTGGTGTAATTTTTGTGGCAGTTATTATGGCTGTTGTTTAACGATGCGTATTTCTTTTAGCCTTTGCTGTGCTTTAAAATAGAAGGACAATAGGGCCGTTTATACGAGAGAAAATAAGCCGCGGCTTACATAAGACGCGAACACCCCGTATAAATGGTACAAAATGTATGTTCACGGCTTATTCAACCCAAGGCCAGCTCAAGCCGCGGCTTACCCTGGCCGAGGGGTTTTGGGATGGGCTTATCCAAGCCGCAGCTTACCTTGGACGTGAAAACGTTCGTATAAATGCACTCAAACGTTGTCCGCGGCTTGCTGAAGCCGTGAACGATTGCTACGCATGCTCTGTTTTCAATTATATCCCAGACCTTCACGGCCGAGAGACGCGCGTTGCAGTGGCGGGAAAATGCGGGAAAATTAGTTTTGTTTACATTTACACCGTGGAAAATGGCGGATAGAGATTCATGTGAAAAATGAAATGCGTGGAGTGCCCCAAAAGAAAAACAAATCCTGCCCATATGCAGCAAGCTTGAGATTGCGGGTTAGCTCGATGTCTGTGCTACCTCGGCAAGCGTAAGTTTGCCGATTTAAATTTTAAATCTACGCTTATTAAAAGTACAACCTGGCCGCGAACGAAGCCGCGAACGAAGCCGTGAACCATTTATACGAGTAGTTCGCGTCTAATATAAGCCGTACTCGTATAAATGGCCCTAATATCATTCAAATTTCGGTATACTTTAATACAGAACTTTTGAGATTAACTGCCTGGTTACATAAAGGCCCTTGAAGCATTTTCAATCTAGGACTCATTGGTTCTGGACTGGGACTCATGATTTTTCACAAGATGAGTCCCAGGACTCACCATCACCATTTGTAACAAAATCTCTGTGCTACACGCAGGTGCCCTGGATTTCACATGTTCAGATCACTGGGTTTCTGTCAATTTTTTCTCAGAGCACAGCCTTGGCTACCAGGCCCTGCCTCTAAGAGTGTAACCTCACATTTATCAGTATCTGAGTGACTGTTTGTTTTCCTCTAAACTAAACATAATTATCTGCTCCTATGTTTAGTACTCAGAGGGAGAGCAGTGTTTAATTGAGGTGTTACAGAGTGATGCTTTGACTCAGAAGAGCTACAAGTCCCACTTACTGAAGGCCAGATTAATGTCTTTGTGTGCGAAATACTCCATGCTCCCAGCTAAACTCCACAAGTTCAGCATTACTTTGGGTGAGTTGAAAACTCAATTTAAAATTTACCAGTAATATGTTGTTTTAGTATTCTAGTAATATGTATATTCCTGTAAAAAGATGAGGCCAACCATCTCACCACCTCAGATTCTGCAAGTACCGCTGGAATACTCGAGAGTCCATTCTTTTGAAGAAATTTATTTGGCTAAGAAAAGTCAAAAAGCATTGATAGTTCTCAAAACATAAAAAATATATTTGCTTTAATTTACGGTTCAGCAATTGACAGTTTTTAATCTTGCCATCTTTGATCTCTAGCGTTGGAAAAGGTGGCTGTCTGACATCAAAACCATCAACTGTCAAAGGAAATCTTTTTGAGTTTTTTTGATTTCCCAACATTCCCTTAAGAAATCCAAAAATCTGAGATCAATAATCTAATTTTGGACCCTGGCATGGAAATGTACCAAACTTGGCATTGTGTGGTTACATGTAACAGAGGATTGAATAATGACCTGAACACTGAATCTAGTAAGGTGTCCATTAAGGGATTATTGGGTGCGTTCCTTTGGGGCGATCAGGATCAGCGATCCGAGATCACTCCAATCATTTTAGATTAAATGAACCAATGAATCCTTGTTGAGAGTGGATTCATCAGTTCATTTGATCTACCATGATCTCAGATCACTGATCCTGATCCGGATCGTCGCAAAGGAACGCACCCATTGACTCTATCATGAATGATCTTGCTCCTTTGTGAAGATCCTGTTGGTGGTTCACTAACTGCTTTGGAATGTGCTCTTGATGGATTTCACAAGTTAAGTTACATGGCTGAGGAGGTGTTTGGAGAGGATGTGTTCAGTAGTGGGCGAAAGAAGGGCCAACAGAATATAAATGTGTCAGGTAAAAAGATGACCCTTTCCTGTCATAATGTTAGCTTGCAATTATCACCTCTCAGGACATGTCACTGAATAGTTTGTCAGACTTGTTTGTTTTTTGTGCCTGCTGTTCCCCTCTCTTCATTCAGCAACAGTTATTTTCCTTTCCCAAAACACTGTATTATTGAATGAGCAAAAAGTGAAGCTCTGCCTCCTACTTTGCCTTGATTTTGAGGCCTTGATTTTTGGATATCAAACTGCAAGCTACAGTTGGACTTCTCCACATTAACCACCATTCATTCACCAAAACGTAACAACACCAAAAGTGTGTTTGCTTATGTTTAAAGAGGTCTCAAACTTGGATCAAATTCTAGCCAGATGATTTTTTTCCAAGTGGAAGTGAATTTTTCCCTGTTCTTTTTCATATTCTTTTTACGCGTGTGATTAATTTGTTGCAATTATGTTCATTTCTTTATCATCAACAACACCAACGCTCAACACTTTCAAGCACTTTATTTTGTGTCAATTTCTGCAGCTGCGGGTCCTCTTATTCGACCAAGCATCAATCAAAGCCTTTTCCATATGTCACTCCTGAATGAGCTTCTGTCTTCATTACTACATGTTGGCCAGTTATATGCCCAACAGGGTGCTGTAAGAGAGGCATTCAGGCAGTTTGTAGATGGTCTAACTTTGGCAAGGCACTTTGCTCTACCTTACAGGTATTCATTATAATGCTTTTCTTTAACCAGCCTCCTTTGAGATTGTCTGATCCAATACACAGTAGTCAGCCATAATTATCACGCACTTTTTGGTTCATTGTCAGCAGCACTGTAATGCCATGTTAGTTCCTACTAGGCAGTAAAATAAATTCATTTTGTTGGATTTTGAAAGACGTGATTTTGTTTCCTCTGCGTCCTGCGTCCCTGATGCGCCCAAAGACGAAGAATAATTCATGAAATGCGTCCTGTAGGACGCAAAGAACGATCAATCGATTTGAAAATGATTTTTTGGTACAATATCCTGTTCGTGGGATTTTTGTCTCCGGATTAATTGCTGGTTACACAAAGGCCCAAGCATTTTCAATTTTGGACTCCTTTTTTTGACTCAAGAACTCATGATTTTTCACAAGATGAGTCCCAGAACTCACCAAAACCATTTGTAACAAAATTACTATCTTTCTCAAACAGGCTTTAAATTCTTTTTGTTATTTACATAATGTAATTGCAAGGTTGCAGCATGGAAGTAGCTAAAATGAAATCACTTTTATTGGTGACGTCTATATAGCGAAAGAATAATTACTGGCCATTAGATTCTATTTTCTTTTTGCTTGGGAGATAAACATTTTACGCAAACTACGTAAGGGAATGTAACATTGCCGCCTAGATTATTCAACCTGATTGCATCTTGATAGAACTTATAATTCTTTTCCTTTAGGATTGCAGAATTTCTCATTAACATTGCTCAGTTGGAACTCAAACAAGGCAAGGGTGATAAGTGTGAAAGTCGGCTTGACCAGCTTAATGGACTCCTACAACCAGTTTTGAAACCTTCCAGCCGATCAAAGCTTTCCAAAAATGAAGTTCAAGAACCTCTGCTTCTTGGTCATCCGCAGACATGCGAATGTGTAAACTGTATTGATACAACACTTCACAACATACTGATTAGGTACTCTTTGAGTGTTGCCAAATATCTTTTGTATGTTTCAAGACCCGAGCAATCAGGGGAGGCTTTAGAACTGGTGTATTCAGTGTGCCAGTGTGCTGAAAAGAAAATGGTAATGTGTGTCCAGAAACTTGATGTGATTTTATGTGGTTGTGCATGTAGTGCTCCAAGTGAAGGGATTTTGAAAGAGACAACGAAGAAAGGAAAAGCAAAGTCTGCAAAAGGCAGAAAAAAGAAAGAGGACTCGGGGCTACAAAGTTGTTCTGTTTCACAGTTAATGTTTTGTCAGTATTTTGCTTCATTCTACTGCACAAGTGCAGAGTTATCATTGCAAACGGGAAAGATTGAGGAAGCCAATGAAGTACTCCTAAAGGCAAGGGAAATCCTGCACTGTGTTGAGAATTCTGTTGGATACAATCCTATGCACTTGTTATCCATGAAAGCTTCCATCCTTTATATGTCTGGTGTAGCCACATTGCTTCTAAACAAGGGTTCTTTCAAAGATGTTTGTGTGGATTGTAATTGGCTACCTGAAACAGACTCAAAGATTAGCTCTTTGGAAAGCAGTGTAGAGAACGTTGAATCTTCCAAAGTTGACACACTTGAAGAATGTGAGGAGGAGAAGCCAAGGAAAGCTTCTGGCAGGAGAGGTAGAAATTCTAAACCTATTGAGAAATCGGCCACAGAGGATACCAGCAGCAGGCCAACATCTTCAAGAGCAAAAGGCAGAGGAAGAAGCAAGAAGGCAGAGGAGGCCCTGGCAGAATGTGATGATTCTGAGGCAAATATTCAGCGGAAGACGAAGGGACGTAGAAAACCAACACGGTGTGCAAAGCAACCTTCTAACCTTGTGGATGGTCATAAAACAGGTCAGATTATTACACGTGAAACTTACTTATTTCATTGAAGACCATTCTTGTTGACTTTTTATTTTTCCATTAAAGTGAACCATAGAATGAGAAGTCTGCGTACTGTAACTGAAATTTGGCTTCTGGATGCTCGATCATCATAGGCACTGGCGCTCTTTCGGTCTGACAATTTTTATCTTCAGCCTTTGATTTATTCCCAGAATACTCTGAACCTAGGATTAGTGTATTTTATACATTTGACTTGAATATATGGATAAAATAGTGAATTAGCGGTTGGTGTTTTTTTAGATCTCTTGAAAGCTTTCGGTACAGTCAATCATTCCATCTTATTTGATAAACTTGAACACTATGGTATACGTGGCTTGGCTCTGAAATGGATTAAGAGCTATTTTTCCAACAGACTTCAATTTGTAGAGTACAATGGTTATGTTTCGTCTCGTGCTAATATCATGTGTGGCGTTCCCCAAGGTTCAATACTAGGGCCTTTGTTTTTTCTGCTCTACATCAACGATATAATCAACACGTCAACAATATTACAACTGATATTATTTGCCGATGATACAAACGTTTTTGTGCCTCACAAGGATAAAGACTGCCTGACTAATGTACTGAACGCTGAGCTTAATAAGTTGTCATTATGGTTTAGAGCGAACAGGCTTTCATTAAACTTGAAAAAAAAAACAACTTATTCATGTACTCCCCTCAAAACCATACTCTACCGTTAAAAAATCATTGTAAATTTTCTTTACAAAGTCAAATTCATTCGTATAATACAAGAAACTCGTGTAAATTTCGTCTGCCTTTCTGTCGTACTCGAACCAAACAATTTTCCGTTTTTTATCAAGGACCTAAATTTTACAACACCTTAAACACCAACATCATCAACGCTTACTCACCTTTTTCCTTTAAAAGAGCACTTAAGGCATTTATTTCTAATAATTATTAGTATACTCCAACAGAAATCTTGCGAAAAAGCCTTTTAATATTTAACATTATTTGTAAACTTCCGTAATATTGATTAGTTTAATTTTCCACCTGATATTATTTTGTATCCGTCGCCGTAATTTTTATGCCATCTTCGAAAAATTGTAATTGAGGAGGCCTAATTAACATAAGCTCTATAGTTTCCTTTAGGCCTCCTCGCCATTTCTTCCTACATTTTTTTTGGCATTTCTTTGTAATTATTGTAATCGTGTGGCAAATAAATAAATACAAATACAAATACAAAATCCTATGGTACCGGTATGAAAATTCAATAGAAACATCTCAGCAGTACTTTGAGAGGTACTAGTCATATGCTAGTTCTTACTTTTGTGTCTGTTGACAGAAGTCTGGGTTGCCATTTGTGTCAGGAATCGGTTTTAGCTAATAGTTTAATATCTGAGACCGTGAAACAAATCCTCTGTTGTGGCATTCAACCTTCTGTAGCGGCTCTTTTGTATGGGATATTTTTTCAGTATTTTTCAAAATTAGATCCTATTCTCCTGTATATTTGATATGTTTGGAATTGAAAGGGTCAGGCAAATAGCATGTTAAATCATCATGGTTATAACATTAATAACTATTTTCTATCATCTCATCAGCTCCCAAATGGATTGAACAAACCATCCATTACTGGAATGAAGCATTTGACCTGTGCCAAGTTAATCCTCCACCAGCCCTATTCTCTGACATCTGTCGTGGACTGGCTTTCTGTCATGGGAGATCAGCAACCCAACTCTCCATGTACTACTTAAACTTGGCACCATCAATTACACTGAGACACCAAGCTGTTACAAGTACAGGAAAGAGAATCAAGTAAGAAGGCTTTATTAAGAGGCGAGGGCCGGGGATTTCCCCCGGCTACCATGAACGTGGCACCCGGCTTCTTTCATAGGAAAATAGAAGAAAAAATAGAACCAAAAGAAATCCCAGCTGTTTGATTCCCCGCCAACTTGTATAGTTTACCCTGCAACTTGAAATCTTGGTGGCAACCCTGCTTGGAAAAATAAAGTGGAACCCTGCCTTACAACCACATTACGAACACATTAATTTGCCCCTAAAATTCATTTTATTTTATTTTATCTTTTTGCAAACCTCCTTAATCCAGCCAGAAATTCGTGGCTTAGCAGTGGTCCTAATAATAGGATTTTATTATAAATCTGTTCCCTCCCAATACTATATCGAAATGATACTTATGATTTTTCAAAGACAGTTCACCTTCATTACCCCGTGCACTTTTCATAATGAAAGTAACTCAAAGTTGTGAAGGGAAGAATTGGATTGAGTGCTGACTGTCATTCCCATGAATAGTTAATAAAGAACTTTGTGTAAAAAATTAACCTAACGCAACCTTTTAGGTAGTTCAATCTTCCTGACTTCCTGTTAGTAATATCGATGTCTTATTTTACCTTAGGAGAACAGAAAAAGGTGTGACAGCTGCCTTGTCAGTGGTATGTATCACTCAAAACCTGGTCACATTATCCCACACATGCTTAAAAAGGCAATGAGAATACCCGTTTCAAACGTATTTGCCTTTCATATGCCTTAGCAGGTTTCTTGTTGCTATATAACGGACCTTGGGATCCAACGAGGAAGTTCCTTCTGAACTTGGATATGCCTGTTAGGAATTTAACTCCCACGAGAATTCGCCCACATTTGACCAAGTAACGGAGTTGGAATAATCATAATGAAGATTTAAGGAACGCGAAATCACTTTTCAACGGATGTTTTCGCCACCGTCGCAGTCCTCTAATCTTAAGAACGATGGTCAGGATTAATCGAGCTAACTCTTGGTTTCGTGGCAAGGGTTGAAAAATCAATTTCTGTCATTTCTTGTCCATAGATAGCTTTTAGGTAGTTAGGAAACTCGATGTAGTTAATGTTCCCGCCAAACGGTAAACGGGAAAGGTTTTTGCGTTCGGAGTCTCAGAAAGGCCTAATTTTTTACCTAAAATTTAACGGAGACATTTGGACACTTTCCATGAACGGACTACTCTTTTTCTTTCACTAGAAGTCAAGATACTCAAAATTGGCAGTGTGTTACGCGTCATTGTAATGTAGTTTCTGATCTTGCTTTAAGGGCTAAGAACAACTACCGTAAATCCTCTGTTAAGTACCCCACCCCTATCTCCCCCCCCTCTAGTAAGGCTATTCATGGGAGACCTTGCGAGAACCGCTAATTTTGGGGGCACCATGACAACGTCAAAAATCTGTTTTTTCTTCATATGTTCTATGACTGAATCTTTTTCTTTTTTCTCTCTGTATCAGGAGCATGATGGGGACATGAAGCAACTTGCCAAGGAACTGTCTTCTTTGTCAATTAATGATGATTCATTGTCAGGAATTAAACCTGAGGATAAAAACAAGTTGGCAGATCTTTTAAAAACCCGAAGTATAATGCAGTTCAACTCAAGTTCTCGTGGAGGTGGGGATTTGACGTTTCTATTTTCCCCTGAAGAACTTGCTCTTTTGCAGGACATTCCAAAAGGTACGTTACTTGAATTGAAAATAGTTATTTGCTAGTGACCTGAGAAAGGAATTTTTTAATTTATGATGTTCATTTGGCACAATTTTAGGATGGACCATACTTAAATTCTCCGATTATTGTTTATTGTTACAGTAAATATGTTTTTTAGTTCTGAATTTAGTTTATAAATATTGCCAATCACGTAAAACGCAATATCGTCAAGCTACGAATGACTAGTGTGTTCTTAAGAAATAAACATTTCCTCATAGAGTGGACGGTGTGTACACTGGAGTCCTTTAAACTTCCTGGAGAGGAAGAAAGACAGTTGATGATATGTAGGGTCAGATCTGGCTGCGAACCGGTGCTTGTTAAGATCAACACAACCGTAGGAGAGGAACAAGTAAAGGAAAAAGAGGTATTTTTACCGTTTTACGCCGTTCAAAAGGAATATAATTTGCACAGTGACGGCATTTTGTTACAATTCTTCAGTTTCTCGTGCCAGTTAAGGCTATTGTTTTCTAAAGCTCTGCGGGATTAACAAAGTTGAAAAAGAAAGCGAAAATAAAATGAATTCTGGTTGTGGTAGTCAAATTGTCATCATCGCGAAAATGGCCTGCAACAATAAGCCCACTTTTTGCAAAAAATGTTAAGATTTTAATAATTCTTTTTCCAGAGTGTTCGGAATAAAGGCGTGAACATAAATGATTGAAACTTGTAGTGACTTTACCCCATAGCGACTATGTCACTGATCATTAAAGTTTGTCCTTTTTGGCTTTCGAATTTGACTTAGTGACCCTAAATTCCATAGTAAGAACTAAGTTTTTATAATAGACCTACTCGGCAGCTCGACTGACGTATTCAGCCAACAATTTATGTACGACATTGCAGAGTCGCCGCAGTCACAGGAGAAATTTTCTTTACTTGAACTATTTTCCTTGATCCATTCTCATGCTCCCTACTATGAAATTTAAAATCTAGATAGTGTAAACATTCATGACTTGCAAGGGAAGCAAAACGTGCAATCTGTACGGTCAGTGAAGATCATTTATAGGACTAAGTGTTATTTAGCGCCAATTCGCAGTAACCTTGAAGTAAGAATGTTTTTTTTTTGGTGAGAGTCACTGGAGATTTCAAGACTATATCCCAGGCTAGACTCACGCAGTAGTGATTAAGTAACGATTTTTGTATTCTGTTACAGGCAGATGATGTAGTTATGGACCTGTGTAAACTGTTTCAATGCAGCCTATTGGAGGAGTTTAATGAAATTATGACTGACAATGTGAAGAGCATGAGCGTTAGTAACACCTCTGAGTGGTGGGCGCAGAGAACCAGGCTGGATTCCAAAATGAAGGTACAACTTTCAGAATGAGATTTAAATTCGCAAATTCTTGGCAGGGTAACTGCAACAGCGTTAAAACAATAATTGTCGCTAGTGACGAACCCCTCCCCCTTTTGAACGATGGAGCACGCTACCGGGATCTAGGTCTCCTACTCGTGATAAGTAAGGATGATGAAGGAGACATAGCCAGTGGCTTAACCTCGCTGCCTAGTGACTCACCCGTGGTATTTCACATTTGCTTGTCTGTTATGAAATTCACAGGCTAATTTGTCTGGAAGCGATTTCGACAATGATGCTCAAATGGCACATTCTGCGTGCTCTTCACTGTGTCTAGTTGTCTTAAATTTATCGTCGTTTTGGTTGACAATTCCTTAACTCAGATCCTTTTGGATAAGCTTGAATCGTGCTGGCTTGGAAGATGGAAAGGAGTTCTTCTCGGTCAGTCAATCAACGAGGATCATCAAGAGGCAACAGTGTCCGCTGCCAGGCAGTTACAAGGAAAAATCACTAATTTGTGTGGATCTGCTCCAGATATACAACTTCTTGAGGTAATAGGAACAATATGGTCATTTTTGTGAAGAACAATCCATGCATGTTGTCCCAGCCCAACTGTATTAATGACCTCTTAGAAATGTTGATTAACATTTTCTCTTTGCCACTACTAGTTCGGTGTGAAAGTAGCGTAAGTTACATCCACATTTTGATGAATATGTGTCCCAAGTTGTTTGTTTTAGTTCACTATCTAAACTTTGGTAAACTTCGGTTTACCGCGTCAGTGTTAGCTCAGTCGGTAGAGCGTGTGACTGCAAAGCGGGAGGTTGCGGGTTCGATTCCCGGGGCTGGAACAATACTCAGGGTCTTAAAATAACTGAGAAATGAAGGTACTCCCTTTGCACTGCAACAGGCTAGACCCTCGCGTGGCTCGGATGACCACGTAAAAAATAGTGTCCCCGATTAGTACATTCGTGCTAAATACATTGACACTCAACTAAAGTGCATTTTTTTTAAGGATCATTGTCAACTATATCTGGAGAAGAAAGTAACTGTAGTCTATAGCATTATTCCAGTTTTAAGTAAATGCAATATAAACTACAATGGTTTGAAAGGCTGCTGCTCTCTCTTTCATCAGTTTAAATGTGCTTATATCTCTTTCAGATTCTTGTTGATTCTGCATCCCACTTGTCAAGAGACGAGAAAGCTGATGCGATTTCAGAGATCACTGGCATAGATCCCAAATCTACCTCTTTGAATGAAGTAACCTCAAATGTTTTTATGATAATTTTATAAAGTACATTTGTGTTGCATTTGTTGAAACCTCGTTGAAGATATTCTAAACTAGTGTTCGTTTTTTGGGTTTCAGATTCTTCGTGAGTTTGAGGAGGTCACAAGCAACTCGTCTTCGTCTGTCAGCAAGAAAACTGGCCAAAATAGGTGTGAGAAAATTGGTGTAACTCCCGTCACTTGTGATGTATATGCATTCTGTGACGATCATTGATTATGCATGTGCTTTTAAAATTAGTTAACGTAAATCTTTCTCCATTTTTTTTCACCGGACTGTAAGCAGCCCAGAAGTGGTTACTCGTCATCCTGTCATTCTTATTCTTGGCAAGGTAAGGAGGCATATTCTTTTGGCTCTGTCTAGTACACTGATCAAAACCTAGTGGTTGTGAAAAATAAAGTGGGAGTAGCGATGAAAACGTCTATATTTTTGCCATTTTACAGGATATTCAACACCTTCCTTGGGAAAGTATACCTATGCTATTTGACCATCCTGTGACTCGAGTACCTTCTCTGCAGTTTCTGCTATCAAAGGTAACTTGCAAGCGTGCCGATGACAACAAAATGAGAAATAAATAGTAGAAAAGTTGACTGTATTATCGTTACATGATGGCATGGGTGACTGGGATGTCGAGGGGAATCCACCTTGGGCCAGCTAGCTTCTTAAACTGAGTACCACTTTGCCAATCTACCCGAGTTAGCCATAATCCTGCACACCAGGTTTCAAAGCCTGAAGGCCCCAACTCGTTTACGTAGCCCATTATCGCTTTACAGTCTCAGAAATGGTCAAATACCTATCTGCTTGGTACCCTCAACTGCATGGGTGGATGCTAGTGCTAGAGACGATAGGCCAGGGCTCCTTGTTCCCAGGTGCATCACTACTCATGATCTTAAAACAATTGAGAGGATTGTAGACCTTGGAATGTATTTATCGGTGGCGGTGTCGTCAACCTTTCATGTCGTGGGTGAATTAAGGGGTTAAGAAGGGTTGGGACGTAGTCTGGCATTGGTAAAGAGAGCTGCGTTACATTAGTATAGGTAATAGCATGATCTGTAGTGATATTTGACATAAATACCACGAGTGATATTTCAAAATTGTTATACGTAATTTCACGAGCCTTTAGGCGAGTGAAATTTGAGACAATTTTGAAATATCACGAGTGGTATTTATGCCAAATATCACGTCAAATCATGCTATTAATTGTTTATACTACTACCCTTAGAAGGTTGGTAATTTTCACATGTAGGTATTTCAAATTAAGCTGAAATACCACTGCTCTAAGCCAATCAAATTGCAGAAATTTCTCACGTAGTAGTATAAAGCTAATAATGAGGTATTCCATTGTTGTGAGCAATATGTTGCGCTTTCGCACTTGCTTCTCATCAATAAGTCATTTTAATGTTAACCCTTGTCTCCTCTTGATGCTAGAGCTGAAAGAAATGAACGTGTTTGTATGCATGAAGCCATTTGTGGTATTTTCAGGTATCCTGTCAACAACAATTGACCTATGTGAATCCTGTCAAAACTTTTTATGCGCTGAATCCGCAAAATAACCTTCCCAACACGCAGAAGATGTTCCAGAAGTGGTTTGAAAGGTATGAATTGTGAAACATGCAAATCGCAGAACAATTTAAAAAAATGAGGAGCTTAAGCAACGATGACAGCAACAAGGATGGTTTTATTAGCAAAACAATTATCTGCTTTGGTACATTTTGATGACGTCCATTTCACCAATACAACGTGAAACCTCGTGTTGAGAACGTTTATGGCAAGAATGACATAAATACGCGATGACGAATTTTTCTTTTCTTACTCGGATACAGTCGTTAAGAATTCAACTTCTGGGAAATTCCCCTACATTTCGCAATTTGAGAAAGGCTAAATAGACGCATGAAGTTTAAAAGGACCCCCAATTTTTTTTTTCTCTTTGTAACTTTTTCACTGCCGTCATCGTCGGGGTTCGTTAAGCTCCCTAATGTAACAAACTGAACTTCTTTAATTGTTTGCTATGTCCGGCAGCTGTCTCCAATATACATGGTACAGCATTGTTCCTTTAAATAACACGTATTTTGTTGCATGCAACATATAGTGAAGATGGATGGCAAGGTATCACAGGTAGGGCACCTACACAAGATGCATTTAGCAAAGCACTGACGGACCATGAATTGTTTATGTAAGTTGAAAGAAACTTTATGTGCCAATAACAAATTTTACATAAGCCGATTACCCTACATACAGATGATTAGTACAATTAGGTTGCGAAGCGAGTTGACATTAGTAGCTCTTGTAAAATTCATACAAGCAAAGACGCTTTGTCTTGTTGTAATGCTTCGCAATGATGGAGGCTAGTAGAGAACACTGCCCCTTGCTGGCATGGTTTTGTAAGACAAGTTGTTTGAAAAGTGCACACACCTTCTTTCCATACCTGTTAGGCTCATGGCAAACATTGCAACTTTAAGCTAAAAAGAGCTGCATTAAGCTAACATATAAAAGCTTCTTCCTTTCAGCTGCAATGAGAACAACGGGCCCTCTAAATGATTATCCTGAGGCTTAACGGTCATTATAACTTATTATAAAAAACGGCCAGTTCCATAAATTAAGACAACGCAATGTTCGCAATCCACTCTGCCTCTAGAGAATTTACGATACAATTTACATGGTACAACATTCCTGGCGGGAAGGCTCTTGAGGATGTTAGGCACATGAAAAGAACTGTTAGATTTACAAGGTTGCAGAAGTAGTCCCCTGTTCTATTTCATGTTTTTTTCATGTGATTCTGTTGCGCATTGCACTGCATCGTATATCTTGCCCTCGTTATATTAAGCATAAACTGAAAAGCACTCACTTTTATCTCTGTAGCTATTTTGGCCATGGCACTGGGCGAGAGTTTCTCCAAGGAGATGACATTCAGAGACTGGATTGCCGAGCTGTCACTGTGCTAATGGGTTGTAGTTCTGGAAAGTTAAGGGTGAGAAAATGTGGATGAAAGCCGTGTTGGTAAATAGCGGCAGGAACGGTTGAGTCGCCTGGTCTAGTTAGGTTACCGTACGAAATTTTTGAGGGTTCTAATTTTTGCGATTTTCCAGCGATCCGCAAAAATAAGTTCCCTCAAATAAAGATTACCGCAAACATTTTTCCCGCAAAAATTTACTCCAGAGGAAACATTCTCTCAGTTAAATTTGCTACACAAAGATACAGTACTAAGAAATCGTGTCTGTTCAATCACAACTTGTCTCTTTCATTCAGAAACAAAACGGTATACAACGAAATACTGGTTTATTGTTTGAAAATATGTATTTCTATTGCACGTACTCAATAAAAACGAAAATATTATCAATGCCGGGTACTGAGTACTTCTCTGAAAACCGCAACAATTAATTCCCAGCAAGAAAAACCAATCTCTCGTAATCACAAAAATTAGTTCCCGCAAAACACCGCCACACGGTAACTAAGGTTTAGTTTTAAAAGCTACATTTTTACCATGGTCCTTTTTCAAAGAAGACATTTACAACAATTTCTATTTCGTTTCTTGTATTATTATATCTTTACACTATCATTTAGTGCTTAAAAGTCTTCTTTTGATTTTTTTTCTTTTCTTTTTGTCAGGTTGGCGGGGAGTGTGAACCTAGAGGAATGGCTCTGAATTACCTTTTAGCTGGCTGGTAAGTGTTTCAATTAACATTTTAGTCTTTCTTACCAACAGCGATATTTCTTTACTGGTCAGACAAGACACTCTCGTTAGTTGAGTCAGTTACTGGTCCAAGACTTTACGATGTCATGTGACAAATTTCCCTCCCCCGCCTCCCTCACCAAAAATAGTCTTGTTTAAATATGACAGTGCACACAGTGCTACCGTGAATCTGGGCCACAGGCTTTAAAGAGTGTATAGCTAGAGCAGTCTTAAAGGCAACCTCCACTCTTACTACAGAATAAGTTCAAATCGAATAAAATTATGTTGATAAACAAATTTGTTCGAAATTTGTCTTAAAAAAGTGTTTATATCAGGAAAAGTGAATTTTAAAATCGCTTATTTTCACTTTCAAATTTCGCGGGCACCGCCATCTTGAATAATTGTGACGTGTTACGGTTGCTCTATTGTTCTGACACAAAGAGCTTTTGTTTAATAACAATAGGGCTTCCATTACACGTCACAATTATTCAAGATGGCGACGCCTGCAAAATTTGAAAACAAAAATAGGCGAATCTAAAAGTTATTTCTTTCGGATACAAACGCTTTCTTTAAAAATATTTTAGATTGACTTGACTGTAACAGTTATTTCCTGTGATTTAAAGTTATCTTTTTGTTGAAGTGGAGGTTCCCTTTAAATACTACTCTTCTAAAACAAGTTTTCCAAAACTCTGGAATGTTCTTCGGTATTGTTAAAACCAAAGGGTATGAAGAAAGATAAACAAGGGTGAAAGAGCATATTGCCTTATGATAACCTTACTTCAGTACTGAACAAGTGTTGTTAAAACTCTTGCATATCCTTAGCATACTGTATAAAAAGGGGGGGGGAAGAAGATTGATATGGGTTTAAAAGTGTATAGCTGCCTTGCTTGCTCCTCCTCTATGATGCATATTTTAAACTCCTGAATGTTCTTGGGGACGTTTATAAACCAAATGGCGTAAAAAGAGTGATTTTGTTAAAATGCCACTATTAGTTACTACACATTTTTCATGGTCATCGTAATCAAATTGGAGTGGTTTTCACTTGCAGCCCAGCCATTGTCGCTAACCTTTGGGACGTTACTGACAAGGACATTGATCGCTTCAGTGACTCACTTCTGAAAAAGTGGCTTCAGCAAGACACACACCTCTCATTAGCAGATGTGCTGAGCCTATCCCGACAAGCTTGCAAACTGAAATACTTGATAGGAGCATCCCCTGTACTATATGGTCTCCCAGCTTACACCAAACAGTAACACTGTCAGTTGAGGGAAGTAACAGATACATAACCTATCAAACGTTGGGGATCGTTTAGTTAGTTTTTTGCTTAACAGTTACTTGAAAGGTATTAAGTGAAGATCTGTAATCATCATCAAGATCTGTTTTGGAAGATTCTTGTTTTCTCTATAAATTAAATCTACATTTTTTTTGATACTAGTCTACATTTTAGGTTTTGATTATAGATTATATTTGGAAGCCAGAATAATGTCTAAAAAATAGGATATGTTAACACTTTGTGAAAGATATCTTTGGTTTTTTTTGCTCAGTTAAGAAACATTGCTAACTAAAGATGCTTTAATACAAAGTAAGGTCACTTAAAGTCTCGCAGAAAAAGCAAAGACAAATCATTGGCAATTTTGCACCCACTGGCTATTTTTGAACACGTACATGATAACCCATGTTGGCTAAATGTAAATATAATTATGACAACTGTTTTTATCAATGACGATTTTAACATTAACTGTGTGCAGCTCTGTAAATTAAGATAATGCATTTTTTATTAAAGTTTGCAACAAAACTTTCAGTTAAGAGTTCAGCTGTTTTGACAGTAAAAATCATAGTATGATTGGTCAAGAAATTTCTTTCTAGTTGAGTGGTATATATGGGTAAGAACTGCCACCAACATTAGTGGTAAAGAAATTAGAAGTTGATTAAAAGATAAGTTTGACAATCTGCGCCCAAGATTCTAATTTTACTGTTTACAGGTACGCGGCATTTTTCTATTGCCAAATTGGTGTGGTTGTTCCTTGCTATTTACTGAAACACTGTCACAAATTAATTAATTTATACTTATTGTTACCCACAAAATATGAATGAACTTGTTGTGCTCATACCATCAAAGATGGAATGGTGCTACTACCCCTTCATAGACTATCGTCCACGATAATGGAAAATCCAAGATTAGACAAATATACATACACGTAGTTTTCAGTTGCCAATGAAAGAGATCATGTTAAAAGTTGAAAGCCAAAATCAAGTGCTATAAAGTACAATAAGCTGATGAGGTGTGAGAATAAAAGATAAAAATCTTAATGTTCCACATCCTGTTTAAACATCTGGGTTTACTATTAACATCTGTCAGTAATTATGCTGGATTGTTTAATGTCACTTTTGATAACCAGCCTCGGAATATTTGAAAATTAGCTTATAGACAAATAATACCTTAACCATTTCAGATAGCTTAGAGTGAAAATTACTATAGGCAGAACCAAAGCATTCATATTTGCACAAATGTACATTGTACACTGAAAGTTTATTTATTTGCATTCCCTTGTTGACCAATTCCAATTATACACCTAGTTTTACAGTATAAATAATAGTTTAGTTGACCCATGATCTAACAAATGTTACAAATACCATTAATTCTGATAATAAGAACTCCTCTGCCCTCCTTCTTTACTTTAATTTGTACTTAAAAAATTCGTACACAAAATATTTAAGTGCATCTTTACATCTGGGCACACTATTTTATCCATTAAGACGAATTATTCAGATGGAAAACTGCTTCATGGTTTTGTTGTATGCTGTGGTCTTTTATTTGCATTAGGGGAAACCACTAAATTGACATACTAAGTACGTATCTGCATACACTACAGCATTTAAAAGGGGGAATAAAGGCATGCAAGAAGGGGATGGGCACACCCTTTACATACTTCCCCTTAATACCAGTCATACAAGCTAGTAAAACAAAACTGTTACTTCATTTTACTTACAATTTGCAACCTGGAAACAAGGTTGATTTCCATCTGCACCAGGCAGACAGGGTTTAACAGTTACATTATTCCCTAGCCAATAAAAGGGCATCAGTACTATAAGCAGAGCAGTGAACAATTTATGCTGCCTGATCCTGAAAATGCTAACTACATTAAACAGATGCCTTTTATTTTTGCTGGGTTCCAATCGTCAAAAAAACTAGCTCACACTAAGTGACCCAAATTTCGGAGCAAAACTTTCACGAAATTCTGTCAGTGGGTTGCCAAATGAAAGAAGTCATTATAATCTTAACTAGACAGGTATTAATTCTTAGAGCATGTGGAGAAAGGTGGCTTCAGAAACGAAAAGAAAGTTGCAAAAGAGAAAGAAGAAGCAATACAGAAAGCAAATAAAGGTGGCATGTGAAAGGTGAAAATTATGGTAAAGCTATCTGTACATTTTTTCATTCCTTCCACTCTCCAGAGAGCCAGAAATATTATCCAGCATAGAAAATGTACACTTTGGTTTTTTTGTAATACAAAAAGACTTAATAGTGCCAAGTGAAAGTAGTGCCAAAAAGGTCAATCAAATGATCACAACACAACACTGTGGACCACACGCGTACATGACTTGAAGACAGATTGCCATATAAGACTACGCAAGTGACTGGGTTGAGACATAAGCATTAGGATAATAAACACACACATACACAAAAAAAATTCAGAATCAGTTAATGATTATTATTTTCCTTGAGGTACTGAAACACAGATGAGAAGTCCAGCTTGGCATATCCCTTGTTACACATTATTCTGTAGATCTGATGCGCCAATGAGCCCATTGGCGTTGGAGTCTGGGTTGATGTGGCTGCACTCTGAGCAAGTCCAAGATCCTACATCAGAAAAAAAACAATTCAACTCATCTTTCTTAATGTTACAAAGAGTATCAAATCATGATTTCTATTCAGTGGGCCAGCATTTGAAGAACAGCAGTAAATCATAATTTTCTCCAAAGAATTTAGGCCTAATATTTTTCTTTAAAACCCAAGGATTGCTCAACGTTTTGTTTCAGTAAACAGTACACTGAATTTGACAGTTGTCTGAATGAGTTTAGATACAATAAGGCCCAAGATCCTGCAAAAGAAAAGAAATTCCACCAACTGAACTCATTTCCTTTGTGTTACAAAGAGAAACAGTTAGTATCAAATTGTGATTGATAACAGAACCAGATCAACTATTCAGGAGCCTTCATTTGATGAATGAGTGACTTTGCACTAAGCAGTAGTACATCATAATTTCCAATTTAAGGAATGCCCAATGTTTTGTTTCCTTGGAAATTGTCTTCAGTAAACAGCACACTGAATTTGACAAGACTTGAATAGTGCACCTTAGAAATTCTTTCAAAGTTAAAACCAATGCCTTAGTCCACAAACAAGAACTGCTCTGAAGCTTTTAGTATTTGCAGCTTCTTACTTAAATGAGCAAATTCTTTCATGGTTGTGTGTTATTCAATGTACTTCAAATAAATTGATGCACGTGCCCAAAAAATAAGTTTGCCAAAAAAATCATCTCTGCTCACCTTTGTCATAAGTTGTGATGCAAAACCTCCCTGATAATTATTACTTGAAGGAATGCCCTCAATAATTCCGGGGCAAGGATTGTAAGTATCACTTGACCAACATCGCCCTGAGCTTGTGTTGATCACTTGTGCAATCATTTCTGGTTCCAAGCCAAGGCGAATTCCAAGATTGATAGCCTCTGATACTCCAATCATACTCACAGCAAGTAGTAAATTATTACAGATCTTAGCAGCCTGGAAAAAATTGTCAGGCTATGAATAACTCTCTAGTAAATACTTCTTTAACACAAATGATATTCAAAAACGACCAGTGAAATTTAAGTAGCTGGACTTTGTCAACAACTTCTCTTTTTCCCCAGCAGACACTCCAAATCGGGGGTGAATCCAGGAAATTTAGAAAGGGGATGATGGTTTACTTGCTGGCTGTAACGATACTATATATTTTACAGAGATTTTTTTTAAATACAATAATGCAAAAATAATAAAAGAATAACTTTATTATAAAAGCAACATGGGCAGAAGTAGGGTAAGTTAATTACTTTTACTCTCAGAGAGATCATCTCTACTTAAAATCTATTGTTGCAATTATTATTTTCTGATTATTATTGCCCTAATTTCAATGAAGGCTGTGCCCTAGAAAAAATTGAAAGGAGCCCAAAAACTAATCCCTTTTGCTAGGTATGGAGGTTCAACAAGGCAAATTTTGTGGGGGGCCATGATTGCGGGTACATGTAGATCACAACCCTGCTTTATCTCCCAGCGGGGTACTCCGAATTTCAAGGGACAGGGATGATTGAAGGATTTTTGGGGGTTTGAAATTTTCAATGTTGGGATTTTTGGGGGGGTTGGAAAATTTTGGCAAGTATCTTCAATCTGAAGATTCATGGTAGTTCCCATGTATCCCGGCCGCATGGTTCCGCAAGTAAATTTTTATGGCTCAGAAATTAGGCATGGGATTTTTGGCAGGGTTAAATGTCAGTCCAGGGATTTTTTTTAGTTTTGTTTGAAGCCCTAGAGATTTTTTGGGGTTTTGATTTTTGCCCCCATTTGATCATCCCTGTCACTTGAAATCCGGAGTACCCTCCTGGGCTTTAGCTCTGCTAAGAATTATAGTGTTTGTCCAGTGCTTCCTTTTTTTGTTTAGAAGGATCAAAACGAAAGAGTGTTTTATCTCACCTGGCCCGTGCCAGATGGTCCCGTGTGAATCACATTCTTCCCCATGTGTTGCAATAATTTTGCTGCTTGTTCATAAGCTTCCTCCTCACCTCCAACCATGAATGTTAAAGTTCCACCTTTAGCTGCTGTCACACCTAGGATTACAAATTATGAGAATTATCGTTTTAGAGTAGGTTCTTGATAAGGGTTTTAAAGAAAATCAGAGCAAGAGACTAGTGTAGTGCCAGTGGCAATGATCTGTAGAACCCTGAAATTTTCTATAGCAATGTGGTTGTTTCCAGATTGAATGCACCTACAGCTTTTTCAGTAAGTGCTGCCGGAAAGCCTCTGCAACAAGATCCAGTGTGGATCTACCATCAAATTAAAAAACTTCTAGATGTAGCATTATGCTTAAATAGCAGTACAGGCTATCAGTCCCCGGGTTTTACTGTATCACACTCAACAAGCCTGGCATTTCTTGCACAAGCCTCTCTAAACCTTACTTAAACCATGCACAAAGCAGGAAGAGGGCCGAGGTGGCTGTTCCCTCACCCCTTAGCTTTTTAGTTGGAATTTTAGTTATTTACTAAAGAGCCTCTAAATGTCTCTCTCCCAGAGAATTAATTTCTGGGGATAAAAGGTCTCAGAGTTCTTCAATCAAACTACATGTAAGGCCTAGAGCTGACATTCCAGAAACCTTCGCTTCCTTGCTAAATACTGGGGCTGCCCATGGTAGCAAATATTTAATAAATAATTAATAAATTACGAGAAGATTTTGGGGCAAATGTCCTTTTCCACTATGGCATCCTGTGTAATTTCCTCTATTGACTATAATGTTACACTGGTTAACAAAAAATACTTTTAGCACCTCCTGAGACTGGTGCATCCAAAAATACTGCTCCTTTGCTCTGTACCAGTTCTCCCACTTCCTTGGCAACAGCAGGTTCTATTGTACTGGTGTCAGTCAACAATGATCCTGGTTTCACAGCACTGAAGCAAAAGGGTACATATATGTATCACTTGATTACCTGAGCTAAAATGCTGGAAATCACCTTTCAATTGGCAGCATAATCACTTTTATATTTACAAATTTTGTTAATATGCCTCATCATGATGGGGTAGACATCATCAGTCTATATTCAGGAGATAAAACAACCTACACGGAAAATGTAGAGATTTGTTGTTGACTAAATTCAGAAGAGTTGCATAGATATCAAGTAGGAGTTCCTCATCAGAAGAACATTACGAGTCTTACGGTACCAACCCAATGAAATTTTTTCCCTTAGATTACTACTCCTTTATGATACAATAGACTCATTATTTTTTAGATTTTTACAACATCTCTTGCATTTTTTCCTGTAACATACCTGAGGATCCCATTTTCACCACAGTATACTTCTTTGACATGAGGGCTGTAAGAATAAGAAACAGAAAAGCCTCAACTACAATCAGCTCTCTCTTAATGGACAACTCTATAAGACAAACACCTAAAGAACCCTGCCTTCCTTTAGCCCCTTTATTTGACTCTTTGAAAGGACATCACTCTTACACAGACACTTACTACTGGTCCCAAAGGTGTGTGTCTGAGAGACTCCAACTCCTTTTGAAGGAAAATAGGAAGTATTTTTTAGTGCCGAAGGTATTCAAACAAGCACCTTAGGTGTGGGCCTCTTGGGGGGTCTGGAGGTATGCCTCACCAGGAAATTTCGCAAATTTAATTTCTCTCAAGCGGCATTTCCTGCATTTTGACACTGCAGCGGTGTTCAAAGGAGAGACTGGGTGAGACCTTGTAGGATAGGAAAGTGTAATACAGTCGAACCTGTGCTAAGAGCCACCTCTCTACAAGGGCCACTTTTTTTAATCATGGCCGAAAAAAAATTCCACACATTGACTCTTTGTTTAAAACCTCTCTACAACGACCACCTCTTAACAATGGCCACTTTCTTCGGTCCCCAAGGTGACCGTTGTAGAGAGGTTCGAATGTATGTAATGTTTTACAATCAGATTGCAAAAAATTACTTCAAGGTAAGCAATTTTTTCCATGTTTTCAGAATTTCATGATGTATGGGTAGAATCTGATAAAAATTGGGAGAGCAGAAGGTAACACTTTAAATCAGGAGGGTTGGAATCTCTGCTGTGTTAAGGGGATGTTACACAGGATGATCCACAAGAACAATTTTAGTGCAACACAGCGTTACAACATTGTTGTTACATTCCTTTGAATGACTGCAATACTGTTCCAAAATTTGAACCATGTGTTATGTGCCAAAAATCGTCGTTACGAGTTGACTGCACATATGAGTTGACTGCACATATGCGGGGTTGTCATCAAGAGCCAGGGGCCGGGGATTTTCCCCGGCTACTAAGAGAGTGGCCCCCGGCTACTTTTATTGGAAAATGGAAGAAAAATAGAACCAAAAGAAATCCCTAGCCGTTTGATTCCCCGCCTACCTGTTGTATTTACCCGGCAACTTGAAATCTTAGTGACAACCCTGACAATATGTTATCTCTAAATGTAACAACGCATCCTATTAGGGAAGCTAAGTAAACTAATAAGTATCAGAATATGTCCTGTTTAGACCAAAGTATGTAAAAGAAACTGCTCAAAATTCCGTTTTGACCAGCTTGCATATGTTACTAGGAGTGTTTCTATTACCAAACATAACCAGTGTCTAGAGAATTCAACTATAAATAACAAAAATTAACTAAAGTAAACATACCTTGATGGTAACATGGTGACAATTTTTGAGGTCTTGGATGCCACCTCACTGGGCGTGGCAGCTGTTGCAGCACCCAGTTCTCTGAGATCAACAACAGCCTCAGGCATCACATCATGGACAAGCACCTGGTGTCCTGCATCTAAAAGATTCTTTGCCATAGGGCCTCCCATATTTCCAAGTCCTATAAAACCAATTGGTTCCTCCTAAAATGCAGAAAAAAGATTTAGTGGTATTTTTTTTGGAAGGGCTGATTGAAAATGAAGCATCTCACAAAACATCAGCCTTTACTGTAAATCTCAGGCTGGCAAGAAATCTTCCAAAATTTTGATTACTTCAGGGTTTTTTTTCTGTGACTTCAGTTGTTATCAGGAATCAATAATAATCGAAGTCACAGAAAATAAATTATTTATTGTTACCCCATAACAGAGATCAATAACAATCAATAGTAGTATGTTGTTCAGATATTCTGAGCATGACCTTGCTATTCAGTCGGTAAAAAACACCGCCAATAGCTGCTTTTGTCTTTAACTATATTATTTTTGACTTCAACAACTACTCCAGGCATAGTGTTGATGTTACAGGTCAAAATTAAATTCAGGTTAAATTTTTTTAACCTAAGTTGATTCTCAATTTCCTTTGACTCCTAGCCATAATTCACGAATAATCAGGGTTGGTAGACAAAGGAAATTGAGAATCAACCTAGGTTAAAAAACTTTTAACCCGTTCAATTTTAGCATTAATTATTGATCTTCTCATTCCCGGTCTCATTCCATTTGTGTTTCTGCAGTTTTACAGATTCTGACATATCCATTCAATCCAGTGCTATTGACTGCATCTTACATTTTATCGTCGCAATCTGGCTCAGACTGGAATCCAATTCAGTGCAGTGGCATTTTCCCCCCTCAATGGCCCTTATCTGCCCATCCCCCTAACACGCCCCCCAAAAGGCATTCCTCAAGTTGTTACATTTTTCGTTTTCTGTTATGAAAAAAATAAGGTCTGGCAGCTATCATAACATTAACGAGTCCGTTAAAACGTTTCTTTCGAATCTTTTGAAGCCAGAAATTTTGCGCCCATTTTCAGAATTCCAAGGTTACGTTGAGACTTGATCAAGATGGAACAATGACTGGATGAAATTACAAAGAACTTTTTCTACGAATCCTTCCTTTTGGAACAGTCAAGTGGGAGCAAAGAGTCTCGAGTGAAAACCATTAATTCTCCAGTGAAGGTTACGAATGTACTTCAGCCTATTGCTGGCTTCCACGTGTAAAACGATGGATATCAAACAAAAAAATTTCCACTTCACCTGAGTCGAACCGCCATCTGCAAAGAGATCATAACTCTACGGTTAGAGTTTTGGAAGCCTAAATTGAAGCAAAAATTTCTTCAAGATCAATTGCACAAACTTACTTGAATATAATCGACAGAAAACTGCTCTTCGAACCAAAGATCGAAGAACAAAACTACCTCTACAAATTGTTGCCATTTTAACCCAATTCTGGAACAAAGGGGAACCTTCAGGTATCTTACACAACGTTGCACTGCACCAACACCGCTGGCTGCAGTATAATTTTGGTCTTTTTGTTCCTGCAAGATGGCAGCCTTGTCGAAAGTTGCGGATGTTCTTCAAAAATCAGTTGCTTTTACCTGTATGGCAGCATCAGTTTATCTGTTGGTTTTCACCGGAAGGAATTACCTGGCTTTGCGTGAAAAGAGATTGGCAAACGCCGCTATAATTGCCACACAAAAAGAGATAGAAGTTTCGTCCGAATCTGCAGTGGTACCTGGTCAATTGCAAGGAGACACTTCACCAAAACCATGAAAAAGGTGCTTTCTTCAAAATCTGTATAGTCGGTCCCATATTATTATGGGGATCCCTGTCTTGGGGTCCACTCTTACAACGTAAAGAGATGGATAAGTAGACAGTATTAACAAGGGGGAAAGTTTATTGATTACATAACATTTTAGTATGTAAAGGCCGGGTCGAGTTCACGTAACTGGTCCATCGATATCACAAATTACCAAACCACACAGATTCCCCTCGATCTAATAGAGCATTTTGTTAAGAGATTAGGCCTAGGAGATACTTTAAATTTGCCACTCATTTATCTGTATCGTGGTGACCTGTACTCTGACTTGTGGAAAAGTGACCTGTATTGGTGGTTTTCACTGTCACGCCATCAAAAATAACAATGGATCCTTTTAATACAGAAAATCTGGACTCTGAGAAATGAAAGACAATAAATATGAAAACAGCCTTGCCAAGAGTCAGGTCTGTGCACTATTTCATTTTTGAGATATTCGGAAATACGTTTTATCCAAATGTCCAAAGCTTTGTATGGAGACGCCATATTTGTGTTCCTTTCAGGGCCACAAATATGGAAACCAACAGAAACATCTGTTGTTGAGTTTTCCTATGAATGCGTGAATTCTTCACTTAAGGAACTCACAAAGATTAAAGTAATATTTATTCTGAGACAAGGAATGTTTAGATAGCAAAATCTCATGATGCATGATGCGTACTCTCCTATTAGTAAAATCCAGCTAGTGGTCTATTATCAATGCTGCATTCTGATTGGTTGAGCTACTATTAGGCTATATGTTATAGCCCACTAACAGCAAAAAGCGCCGGCTTTGAAAACCAAACCAATGGCGGCTGAATCGTGTTTTGCTAGCTAAAGTTGTTTTGTCTCGATATTTATGACCAACTAGTTGGATTTTACTAAAACAATAATTATTATTCCTCTCGCCCTCACGGCCTCTGAGTCAATAGCCGATGAGGCCGAAGGCCGAATGGGCTATTGACTCAGAGCCCATTGGGGCTCAAGGAATAATTGTTGATTACACTGTCCTATTAGTGCTAAGATCAGGACAGTTGATAGCCAATCAGATTTGAGAATTTTGTTATAGTTGTGATTAATGTTTAAATTAATAGTAACTGGGGCTATTGTAAAGCCTACACAGACTTTATATAAAATATTGTATAGTTTCATTCTGACTCTCAGTACCTTTTCATAATTCTATATTTGAATGTCTCTGAAATGGGGCATCTTTAAACCTTCATTTGGTTGTGAGGGCGGGGGGCGGAGGGTATTTACTAAATTTTTGGGTAGCTAGATGATGTGTCTTTAAGATTGCAACCCTTATCCTATAGCACACCATGTTCTGCTGCATTTTTCAACTCTTTTCTAGACTAGGCAGACCCTGATCATTTTTCCTTTAGCTCTATTTTGGAAGAGAATGGTACCTAGAGAAGTTAGTCAAGCATTTATGCAGGGGTTTCAATAAAAAATGAAGAAGCCAACAGGTTGGAATTGAGTAACTGACTGTACCAACAAGGGAACATTACTCCCTTTTTTTCAGTTGGGTCTGGGATTAGGCTCCCCCACAAAATTTTGAAATTTCAAAGCCATCATAAGGTTGTGTTTTTCATCAAAGAAATTGTAGTTTCCATTAAAGTTTCCATTTGTAAGCCACACAATCAACTTTCACAAGCAATGAACCAATTATTATAAACATGCATTTGCACATGAACAAAGTCTGTAAAAACCTATAAAAAAACATGTGAAAAAATGACTGAAATGCAGCATTCACAAAACCAAAGCATAACATAAAACCAGTGTGCCTTTTACCCTGCGAAAACATCCCCGGCGGTGAAGAGCGAGGAGAAACGGATGTTTTCACAGGCTATGTGCCTTTATGAAATTGCATCATAATTATGTGTTCATTCAGATTCTGCATGTATGATATCTTTTTTCGTTACTTCTTTTTGGAAAAAAAAATTGCCAACTTCTCTAAGCAAAGTAGTGGACTTGTTTCATTGGTCATTGGTGCTTACTGAAACCCTGATTTATGAAAATTTTAGGGGGACGTGGGCTTTGAATTGACGTCAGTGGATTTAGCAGATGGAGCCAAAGTCCCCCCCCCCCCCTCAATGAACTTTTGTTTAGTTCCTAAAGGATTCTTTTAAATTTGATCTTTAAGAGCCTTAATTTCTGGACGCTTATGTTCTCAGAGGTCTTTAATCAATAGATAGTATCTATAAAACTGGCCCTCCATAAGCCTCTTCCCCAGCTTTCGGAATCTTCTGGATATGCCCGTGGTTGTATTGTATTTTCCACTTGACTTTGAATGAAGTGATAAAATGTCGGCTCTTACAGGGAATTTTTTTGGACTTGTTGTTTCAATGAGAAGCAGTTGAAGAGTATGTGTATGATTTATTTTAATGATATATTTGTATTTTTGATTGCTCAAAATCAGTGAAGGGACAGTAAAATAAACATCGAGATAAAATGCAACTCCCTCTTTACTTTCGCATCCAGAAAATATGTTGTTTAGCATTGTGAGTTCCCTGATCTTGGCTTTCACTCCCACTACCCCCCCCCCAACAACTCCATTTGGGTTTGTATATCCACTTTAGTCCCACACAACCACTTTTTTTCAAGTGAGCTTACCCTAGATTACTATACCCTATCCCAGCATAAAGTGCTTTACTGCACTTTTCAAAAACACGCAAATTCTGAAGTTTAAAAGCCAACTGATGTTTGCGTTTTGTTGTCAATTATCTTAGAGGACCTCTTAGGAAACAGAAGTTTACTTCAACGGGTTCAAAAGGTAATGGTTTGTGATTGGTGAATTTCGATCCATTGTGTGTTTCAAGGTTCATTGCTTGTGATCGTGTTGTGATTGATGCAAACGAAAAACGCCATTGTGAAGGCGGCTTTTGCATTTCAGAGTTTGCATGTTTTTGAAAAGCGCAGTAAAACCAGTTCAATTCACTACCTTAAAAGATTGAAATGGTGACATTTAAAGCACTAAAGCCTCATTAGAATAAAGTGAAAGTTACAGTGTCTCACTCCGCCCAAACAATGAAACAGTGCTGTCGTGCTGACACAAATAAACCAAAACCACTTCCCTATTTATCATCTAATTTCAGATCCTTAACTTTTCTTACAGGGATAAAAGCAGATCTGGATTGAAAGGAAGCACACAAGAAAATACAGCCACGATCTCAAAACATTCCAAGAGTTTTTTTTATGTAAAAGAGAAATCAAGATTATGAAAAGCATTGTGGACATAGAGGAATTCCAAGTGGACACAAAGAGAGGAATAAACAATTCCAAAACTTAGAACAAGTTTTTAATGTAATGCATTATTTTGTTCAAGGACGGTTTTGTATTTTGACTGAAAGAGGTGTAAAAAGCTATAAGGACCAGTTCAAACGTCGATCTTTTTATGTACCGAACCTACAGTACAGGCCACGAGCATTGCAGCACTTACACGCGCGTAATCGTAATAATTAAGTACATGAAGAGATCTACGTTTGAATCAATTAAGTTTGACATGTCTAATTTAATTCGACCAATGAATTAAGATCAAGTGGCCCGCATGGGAATTTTGACTGTGGTGCAACTTCATCTCAAACGTCAAACTTCTCATGTGCCGAACCTAATGCATCAATTCCTAAAATTTATTTTGACTTGCAAGCATTTTGGACCATTGAACATCGTGAAAATGAATTGACTCCGACTAATTAAGTTCTACGTCTAAATCAACCGTCGAGCTTATATCACTTGGGTCGACCTAAATAGGTGTTAAGTTTGGTTCATGAAAAGATTAAGGTTTGAACTGGGCCTTACTGTGGAAACTCTTGTAAGCGGACATGTTTGGGATGCGAAAAGGCAGTTTGTAACTGGAGCTTACGAGAATGCTTCTCATACGCCGCCACTAGTGTTACAAGGGTTAAAAGGCGCTTATGGGAGTTTGCCCAGCACAAGTAAACTTTGAGAATGTACAAAAAAGCTCTTAAACGATTTTTTTTTATTTATGAACCTCTGAATGCCGTGATAATGGCTTCAGCTGCAAGGACAACTTGTGGAGTAATTGCAGCCAACGTTAACCTCAACAATCTTACTGCAATGAAGATGTAGTCATGCAGTTTACAATAAAACTTTGTTTATAGGTATTGTCAAAGTCAGTAACACCCAAACATCATAACTGAAACAAGAATGATGAAATACTCAGCCATATTCCTTTAAGGATGTTACTGTTTGTTAGCAACAAAGTACAAAAAATCCATACATGAAAAATTCACTTGAAAATGAATTTAAAAATATATAAAAAAAAAACATACACGCATGGTCAGTTAACCTTTTCATCAAACCGGGTGTATCCGGTCTAACGAGCGTTAGAAACCAAAAATTTATTAAAACTACGTCGTTTCCTAGAAACAGCTTTATTAGCTAAAAGCTGGGTTGAAAGCTCTTTTCAGTGCGGGAGAAAAGGTTTTCTTTAAACAAAGTTCTCTCTGCTGGATTTTTAGCTCAGGTCTAGAGTCACACGAAACTGAAATCTAGATCTAACAACAAGGCTACTCGACAGCAAACATTTGCTCTTGTTTTGCAAAGTTCTGTGTTATGGCGCACAGCCGCATCTACATTTCTGCACATCTGGTGGCCGTATTGGTGATTTCCTGTTTCTGCTGCACGAAGAGCCAGTCTCTCAAGCGTCATGGAATAAGCGTAGCTAAAATGGACTCAAAGTTACTGTCTTATCATGGCGGAGGAGAGATCGACAAAACAGTTGGTGAGTGAGCCTCTCGATACAAACTCCGCTTTTGAAAACCTTAACGCAGACTAAAATATTACATCTGTCATTTGGGTAGAGAAACCGCTTTACTACTACACCTTCAAGTTCGCTTTTAGTGCAATTTTATTGAGCAATTTGAAAAAACTGCTTAAAACTTGTCTTGAATACCACATACAACATTCCAAGTTTTACTCGTGTGCTCCAAATTGCTCTTGTCATCAACAAATAGCACAAATGCATATTCTGAAAGTTTGTGAGATGTTATTCCTATATTAAAGCCAGCACTATTTTTAGATAAAGTTTTGTCCCTTTTTCTTGTTCCTGTAAGCAGACATTTCGTTCGCTTAAGTGTGATTTCTACAAAACGGTTTTGCTGTCAAAATAGCTCAATAGCCCTTGTAGCGCTATCTGTGAGAAATTTCTGGGAAAAGGCGGAAGTCGCGGAAGTGTACTCAATTCTTAATTCTCCACAAGAAAAAGTGAAAGGGGGAACGTCGACATTTTGTACTTTGTATATGGCTTTCTTGGGATTGCAATTGATTGCAAATCAATCACTTTACGGGTTTTAAAAGGCCAAAAACTCCCATTTAAAAACATATAAATTGTAATGGTTACCAGCATCATCAATTTAAGCTAACTTACTCTGGTCGCTAGACCTCACTAATTATGCATGAAGCTGCATGACGTGAAGGCCTGGGTATGAATGCTCCTTGTTTTACACCTCCTTGTGTGTTGGCAATTGAGACTAATTTGTATCTGGCTATAAACATTTTACCGTATTAACAAAATGTGAGCGGCTATCTTATTAGGTGTCAGTTGAGAAAAAAACAATTCACTGCATGCTGACGGGTGTCATTGTATCGCTTAAGGGTTGAAATTGCAGATTTCAGAACCACTGATTTCCCAGCGACCACTCAGCGAAATGACGTCGGAGGAACGAGCGCAGAAACTGCATACTGATGATGTGTCACAACCCAGATCTGGGTAGTGGAGGTATTGGGCTTTTTTTCACACGTTATTTCGGTAATTTTCATTTTAACGTGCGGTATTGCGGTATCATCTAGCTCTGCGGTATGCAGTTTTTCATCATTTTGGCTGACGGTATTCGGTGTCACGGTATATATTACGGTACCGTTTATTTGCGCTTTTCTTTCGATACGATACGGACAATACGCAAAACACAAAACACAGTGGGACATAAAGGTCAATAAAAGTTAATATTTAGAAGTCTTGGGACATAACGTTAAATGATTACACCATTTGTGGGTCATTTTGTGATAGTTAATGGTCGATAATATACAATGTGATTGTTGTAGCATCCAATGATAATGAGTCGTCTCAAGTTACCTTATCAGGCTATTCGATCTGTGCACCTGTGCTGGTAATTCGAGGTCTTACACGTTTTCTCACAATGGGCTGCGTTCGCTGAGGTTGACGACGGCGTGGAAAATTTAGTAAGTTTGCCTCTTACCGGCGCGGCTTGTGAGACAGTCGAGATAGCTGACCCCTGAGAGACTGATGCGCTAGACTAGACTCGCTTATCAAAACTCGCAATAGACGTGCGTGGAAAGGGTTTTGGTTGGTTTGTTTTTCGCGCTTTCAAGAGTTATTTTTATTGGAGTTAATTAGCTGTTAGGTCGACCTACAAAAGGTAGAACGAATGTAGTTTACTTTTCAGTGAAAATTTGCGAAAATTTTGCGAACTACCAAAATATTAAAAAAAAAAAAAAGGGGAACATCTGGCACTAGTTGTTCAAAAGGTGGATAACGCTATCCGCTGTATAAATCTCTATCCACTGGATAGCGCAATTAGTTTCTCCAATATTTATCCTCTGGATAGTGATTTATCCGCTGGATAGCGTTATCCAACTTTTGAACAACCCGGACCTGGTGCATAAATGCCTGAGATAATTAAACGCGCTAGATGGAAGTAACCATAAGTATGCGGAACCGATTATAAATGTGATTTAAAATATGCGGTATTGGTATTTAGACGATATTCGACGCGGTATTTCGGTATTTGCCATTTTTTCTTACGGTATTGCGGTATTGGGTACCCCCCAATGTCCCCCTCGTACGTAGTGCCTCTGATTGATTGAAGCAAATTTTTAGCCCATGAGAAGCAATAGATCATTTTTATTCACGTGGTCAGTGGCTATGCAGATTTCTCGGAGTAAATCTCCACAACATTTTCTTGTTACATCAATATGGCCGCCTTTTTTTGTCTTGTACACCAATATGGCCGGCGTGACGCCATGTAAAAACGATCTACACCCAGATCTATGTAGTGCCACGTCATCATTATGGAATATCTGCGCTCGTTTCTCAGACGTCATTCCGCGTGGAACCAATGGTGGAGTCGTGATTGGTGGGCTGTTTTCTCAGACTTGCCTCTCATACAGTGTGAAAAACAGAAAGCAAATATTTTTACCATAAAGGTATTTAAGGTTGTGCGTAAAGAAATACTCTTGAAAAAGCAAATGTCTTCATAATGTGTTGTGGTATGGTCTCTTTAGGGGCTTCATTCTTATTTTGCTGCAAGCAACCGTGTCCCTGTCATAAGGAAGTTCCCCGGGTTCTCTACCTTGCTTCCAGGCACTCCGGTCTACCCCTATCCTCAAAACCAGCAATTCAATTTGCAACTCGATCTTAAAAGCACGAACACTTTTTAAGCCTCTTAGTTGAGAGGTCAATAAACAAATTATATTTACATTTTTCACATTTTTGATGCAAGTCAATCCAATGGGTGAACATTTTTTGTGCATCCACTATGGGGAATACCAAATGGAAGTCGCTATAGCCTACTGAAAACTGTCTCCAACCATGTCAGCTCAATTAAGCATTTGGCTGCGTTCTTATTTGCTTCCAGGTTCAGAGAGGCAAGAGAAGAATTATAGTAAAAGCTTTGCTTATGGTTGTTTGTGTGAAATTCCGATACCAAACATCACACTAGATACGACATTTACACCGGAACAAGAAAAGACTGTGCTTATAGAGCTGTTCAATCAAACAGAAGGCCCCGGATGGAACAATAAGACTAACTGGAGAAACAATAATGTGTCACATTGCTTGTGGTATGGAGTGACTTGTGATAACACAAGTCACAGTTATGTCATCAGCCTGTCTTTGGTTCAAAATAACTTACGTGGCACCCTTCCAAAAAACCTCTGGAAGTTACGCAATTTACAGGGTTTGTGTATTTACGGTAACAGTAGATTGTCTGGAAAGGTCGATGAAGTTTTGTCTGCCGATATGACTGCTTTACTTCGACTTGACCTGGCATTCAACAGATTGTCTGGAACGATTCCTGGGGAAATTCTTCCAAAGATGAAGTCTTTGGTCAAGATACAACTTTGTTGTCAAATGGGAGAAGGGCTGTCCGGAGGATTACCAAAAGATGTTGGAAACTTAACGGAATTACAAGTAATTTCCCTTGGGCAAAACCAGATAAATGGTTCAATACCTCAGAGTATTGGGAGGCTGACAAAGCTATGGTTTCTAGATCTTGAAACGGCTAATCTTAGTGGCGGATTTGAGAATCTGTTTAACGTGTCATCGCTACGCTACTTGCATCTTTCTCTTGCAGGTCTCCACGGCACTTTGCCTGATGAATTTGGACTGTTCTTTCCTGCAATGAAACAATGTCTCCTTTCAGGAAACCATTTTACTGGGAACATTCCTTCAACGATTGGCAACATGACTGACTTGCAGCATTTGGACTTGGCAAAAAACGACTTTTCTGGGCAGATACCCAAAAGCATTGGTGCCATTCCAGGGCTTCAAGTCGCTGATTTCAGTGAAAATAATTTTATATCGCTGCAAGCTGGAACTACGTTTGCATCAAAGTCGCTCGAGGTGCTTTTACTTGGCGGCAATCAGAAACTCACTGTGAACTTCAATAATCTGTTGGATTCTTTAAAAACAACATATACCTGTTTACGCATTCTTAACGTTAGCGATTGCAACATGTTTGGAAGGATTTCAACAAAGTTGTGGAACTTCAGAAACCTAATCTCTGTGGATTTAAAAAATAACAGTTTACATGGAGAGCTACCAACGCCAACGGACAACTTTTTTATGTTCCTTCTTCATCTCGATGTGTCTGCAAACAATCTTTCTGGACAAATTCCTTCACAGATTGCTCGGCTGCAAATGCTACAGTTCCTTGACGTTTCAAAGAACATGCACATGCATGAATCTGTCTTGGATGGTGACATTTTACCCAAATTTATGAGGGCTGATTTTAACACTTTAACACGTAGAAACCCATCAGACAAATTTAAGTGTCCCAGTGCTCGCCTTAATTACAACGACGGACTGGTAATTTTAGATCCCAGGTACTACTTTTACCGTCTCTGCATTTGCGACATCGGATACTACGGCTCTGGAAAAGACTGCTTGCCTTGCATGAAAGGCGCTTCGTGTCACGAGCAGAAGCTCCACAGTCAACGAATGATTATGAATGTGGGTTATTGGCCATCATCACAGGGTGATAAGAACGTTACTCATCTTGTGAAATGCGTGCAAAAATTGGGCGCTGGCTTTCAAGAAAATACACCGTGCAACCCATCCGGGACTTGCCACTGTGGAATTGTCGTTAGCGGAACCAGATCAGCTACTGTTTGTGATAAGTCGTGCCTTTGTCGTAAAGGTAGTACAGACCGTTTTTGTTCACGCTGTCGTGAAGGTTATTATAAGCAAGGAATCTTGTGTCACGCTTGTCCAAAGTCTGAAAGTAGCGTCTACATCTTGGCAGCTCTTGTTGTAACCATGGCGGTTTTAACCGTTGCATTTTATTTCTACAAAAAGAAACGTCTCCTTTCCATTTTAGTCGCCTTCGCTCAAACCATTATTTTGTTCGTGTTAGCCATGTTCCAGTTCATTCCCGGGTGGTTTCTTGAACTCAATATAGTTTACCTCATTATTGGTCTAGCTGGAAGAGGAAAAGCATCAAGAGGGATTCTCAAGATCAGCGTCTTTTATTTCCAAACGTTGGATGCTCTGATTTCTGACATGGATATTTGGCCGAAGAAGATTCTTCAAGCTCGGCGATACATGAGTGGTGTGTTTAATCTTCAGTTTTCAGGTTTTGCTTGTGTTTTCCCTATTCTATTTACTCCACTTGGTGAGATGTTATCCCTTATTCTCTTTCCCGTCATTTGCATTTTGTCCATTTGGCTGTATTTTTCACTTGGGTGTTTTCTTCGTCGATTTTGGAATCCATTTGAAAGGTTCTTCCCATCTCGAAATACTTGCTTTCACCTTTGCATTGTATCTCTTAACCTCACTTATTTCCCTATTGTGAAGAAGACTGCCACTGTCTTGGCGCATTGCGACGAAGACAACAGCTATCGTTACTTGCGAGAGGCACCGTGGCAGGGATGTGGAGGTCGCACTTACACCATCTTGCAAGTGTTAGGTTGGTTCGCCTTGACACTCTATGTTTGTGGTGTTCCTCTGGGAGTGTTTTTACCCCTTTTATGGATATATGTTCGGAAAAGAGAAGAACTTGCCGAGGAAGAACAAACTGTCTTAGACAGCTGGCTAGGTTCCATATATCTTCCATACAAGAAAGACTTTCATGCCTATTTTGAGATACTTTACCTCATCAGACGCATGCTAATTGCATTCTCGATTTCTTTGATCCCCAGAACATCACCGTATCAAACCACTGTAACGAGTTCAGTTCTAATAGCCTGTCTGTGCTTTCAGCTTTTCTACAGGCCTTTTAAAGATTCGTACAAGAAAGTTCCGTTAGAAAATACAGCCGAGACCATAGTACTGTTAACTTTGCACTTCTCTTTCGTAAACGTCAGGTATGCGTTGCAAAATCAAGCTGCATCCACGTCGATTGTTTGGATGCTAATTGTTGTCAATTTAATGGTACTGGGTTTTATAGTCATTTCTTTGATCCTGTTGCTTGGTAAAAGAGTTCCTACACAACCTTCAGGAGAACCAACGCATCATGCCTCTGGAGCCTCTGGAGGGGAGAGCGCTGTGCTGATTGAAGATGGATCAGAGGGGCCAACCAAATAAACAGCTGCCGTGAAACTGCTTACGAACGTTCTTTTTCTGGTGATAGCAGAAGACCGAGATAACGCAATTTTCCAAGGGCTTCACGGTTTCAAAATGGCGTCAGGAGAAACGCCGCCATATTGGAAAACGAGAAGACTACCCTGGGGACAGGTTGTTTGCGTGTGACAAAGTCAGGGAGGAAACACTAGCTTTTGTTTTGAAAAACAATTCATTGACAGTTGTTATATAGAGTTTCTATTTAACAACTGTCGATCAATTGTTTTTCAAATCAAAAGCTAGTGTTTTCTCTGACTTTGTCACACGCAAACGACCGAGGGTCTTAAGTGCTAGCGCTGCATATAGAACAGGGTCATCGACCAAGAAGATGATAACCTCACCAAACTGTTTTTTCCAATAATTGAGCGATTTCTTGGGCGCTGATTGGTCCAGAGCTATGTTCCATAAGAGTAACGTTTTTTTGCTCGTTCTCTCGCGTGCGATGTTCCGAGACAAATCAAAGGAAATGGACGTCAAAAACTGTCAAGAGAATGTTATTGTGAAAAGCAAATCGACAACCATTTTCCATGATCTGTACTCTCATCGACCATAGCAATGACGTCAAAACTTTGCAGTGAAAGTACTCGCCTGCGGTTTGTGGTTCCACTTGAGTTTTGAATATTTTGAAGTCATTTCTATGGTTGATAAGAGTACATACCACGGAAAATTGTTGTCGATTTTTTAAAGAGAAACTTAAAGCTCTTAAGTTAATGTTAAGTTGGGTAAATCAATATAAATAATTATTTCATCTCAAAGTTTTTGAAGTAAAATATCGTGGACGGATATTGATTTTTAAGTTTTCTTTATCGGTATGGAGTTTTTACCCATGCATATCTAGGATTGATCTCGAGCTTTAAATTTTTTTTTCTCCTTTACAAATGTATTCAGAATATTGGTTTTAATCTCCAAAACCGGTAAGCAGTGAATTTTATGGCCCGGATGAGGTCGTTATTTGCTAGTTCGATGAACAAGGCAATGAGTATCTTTCCTCTTTGTCCCATGACATTCCACAATAAGAATATATCAAAGATAAATCTCTTCCACAAAGTGGTTTATTTTGCTGTGTTTCCAGTCTCAAAATCTTGACCAAACTTCAATAACTTGTAGGCGTCTTCAGCCATCGAAAAAGAGAAAATCTTATCAGAGGAGTTTAATGAAAGCATTCATTATTTTATTTCCTGGAATCCAGTGACGATTAGTGGAATTCATTTATTCGCGCCAAAATTTTGTTTGGAGCAAAAGGGAGATAAAGTAGAAAAAAAGCGAGTTTAAACTTCTGACCATAAAACTATTTCACTGCGAGGTATTTGCTAAAGTCTTGTTCGGAAACCCTTCACCGAGGAATGACGTAACTATAATTAAGAAGACCGACCGAGATCATAGTCGACGGATGTTATTGAGTGTCGACCTAATTATGTCTGCATATACTGCAGTGTATACTGACACAAAGTCGTCGATGAACTAAAACAAGAAGAGGCATGTTAGCGCTGGAATTCTATTGTCTTTCACCTCAGGGTCGTAACATGGTACATGGGCTCAGGGCTCAAAGCCCAAAGTATGACTGGGATCAGGGCTCAGAGCTCAGAAGAATGGCATCAGGGATCACAAGGCGTTTGAGCCCGAATCAGGGATCAGATTTATTACACGGTCTAAAAATCTCTTATCACAATATTTTTCCGCATAACAAGGTTTGTGTCCATAGAATTTCCTGTCCGAGGTACATTACCCATTCTTGCTTCCGGCTGGCGGCAGTTCCTGTCATACGAAGTCCTGGTTGTTTGACGAAAACACGGTATGAGCATATTCGCAAACGTAGGTGAAGTCACCGGACAACATTTATTCATTGTAAGGGACGGACCATTAGAGAACTTATAGGTGGGGGGGCGGGCGAAGTACAAAAAAAAATTTCGCGCGAGGGAAAACTAAATGAAAAAAAATTCATGCACACCAATTAATCCTAAAAAATATTCATGCTATGGCCTAAAAAAAATTCACACAAGGAGTTTGCTGCTCGAAAATTCCCCTTCACCCCCCATAACTTTTCTAAGGATCGTCCCTAACCAAGAGCCATAATGGAACAGACGCTCGGAACTCAGACGTCTCCCTTACCCGCGCCCCCCACTGGTTGGGTGGTGCAAGCGTATAACATTTCAGACTTGCGACATTTCAGACTATTTTTTCAGGGGTAAAGAGAATCGCTCGTTATACCGTAAGACTTCGTTATATAGAGGTAAGTTATGTCGAGGTTCGACTGTATTATGAACTACAGGCAAACAATTTTGTTCTTAGAGGGAATGTATGTCTGACAAAATTATTTGCCAGACGTCCGCCTCGGAGTTGAGGGCCAACAAGACGACGAATGTGTTGAAATGTTTCATACATACATACATACATACATGCGATATTTCATGTAGTGTATACAGACTCATCGCTGACTGTGTATTCACGTTTTCCAGATAACGGGAAGCCTTTCTCAAAATGAAAATGAACTTTAACAGGAGACACGTTTGGCATCCTGTCATCTTGATTCTGGGTTCACTCTATGGTTACATGACCCCTTACATGGTACTCAAGACCGAAGACATTAGTGACACAACTTTCCATGAACCCAAACTTCAGTTCGTTTATAACCACAGTGTTCCTAGGACTTCGAACGCCAAGAAAAGTGTAGCTAGTAACAGTACAGAAATTGATGGTGATGAACGGCTCCAAATCGGACATTATGTTGCTGGATTTAACTTGTCCCTAATCGGAAAAGAGTTCAACTTTGATAGTTCAGATTTAGGGAAAGTTCATTTAATATGACAAGGGGGGATGAAGATATTGAGGGGGGCTCCGAAAATTTTTAGACACCCGAAGGGGGGGCTCTGAAAAAATTGTTGCGCTAGGAGGGGAGCTCCGAAAATTTGTATACTTCAAAACCAACACATGACATCATCATACAGATCGGATGATTTTCAACTCAACAATTTAATGACCTGTGCAACTCAGCTATATCACGTGGTTTACAGATATAACAAATGTAGTCTCAGTAATTATTACACTCTTGTTCATCCTAAAAATGCTTTAGAAAATTGTATCACAACTGTATCTCAAGTTTGTCATAGTATAAACCATTGAAGACAATAACGGTAAATATATTTAATACAGTCTAGCGATCTTTTTTCAGGGGAGCAAAGGAATTGAAGGAGGAGGGGGGGGCTCTGAAATTTTTTCGACTACCAAGGAGGGGCTCTAAAAATTGAACCGCTAGCGAGGGGGCTGCTAAAATTTCAAGCTTCGAGTTTCAATATCTTCATCCCCCCCCCCCCCCCCCCCTCCCCTTGTTCTTCGGGACCAAACGTTTAAATACAAAAAGAATGCACACCTCTTTTTGAAGAAATTTCCCCGCAAGAGCTAAACAAATGTCTGCAAAAGTTTTAATTGTCGGCAAGAAAAAGCGACGGCCGCGGCCGCCCGGTCATTACGCGCCAAAATTGTAATCGTTGGCAACAGTATTTGAGTTAAAAATCATCATTTTTGTGCTCAATTATCTCACTGTTTTAGTATCTACTAAAACAATTATTCACCTCAGTGTCGGTGGCTAGTCGTGGATATTTACTTCACTGCTTCGCAGTTCGGTAAAATATCCACGACTAGCCACCTCCACTTCGGTGAATAATTGTTATTTAATCAGTGCCTGGATGTCGTGCATAATTACACGAAAATCAAGGGCCTCCATTCGAGGAAAATTTCCACATTGCCAACCTTACATGCGTCATTTCAGTCATCGCCGAAAATATACCGCATGCTCATCACGAGACTCATTTGCATACAGTGAAAGTTGCCACGATTCTTATCCCCAGTTTCCACGGTCTTCGCTAGGAACGCGTGGCCTACAAACTAGGTCCCACCGACAAAAAAAAGAAACGACTGCATGTTTAGAGTCTCTCTCTGCTAAAGCAAGTTCGACTAAAAAACCTCTGTGTACTTAGAATGTGTTAGTTGATCGTTGATCGTAGCCTGTGTGGCAGACGTTCGAAAGCGAATGGGAAGGAAATTAGGGCGCGAGACCACGTGCCACGCGCTCTCGCGCGCCCAAATTCCCCCTTCCCCGTCCCCTTTTAACGCTGGCTACGTTGATCGTTGATCGTTGTGTTACGACTGTTAAATATGTGAGAATTGTACATCGCAGTAGATTGTTGGATTGGATTAAATCGTGCTTTTACACCGAAAGATACAGTCCTCTTGGTTTTTTTGAACCAGCGAGCGGGGTTATAAGAATTCCGCAACACAATCTGCCTAAAATTCATTTCTAGCTGCGACATTCAGTTGGGCATTGTTTATTTACACCTTGATAACACCTAGAGTTTGTTTACAAAAATATGTAAACTATGAGTTTTTTCTATTTCATCTTTCTCCCTCGTGGAGAAATTGTCTTTGCCATA